CTTTTACTTATTTGTCGACTGGGTTTAGTTTTTTCTGGAAGGAGGAATACTAGTAAGACCGTATTGTTCACAGAAATTTCCTAATTCATACTTGATGGATTTTCTATCAGACTGTATTTGACGGCCAATTTTAAAATCAACACGCATTTTCATTCCAACTTGGTTAATTGTGCTTATAATGTTTCCATATGTTAAATTATCCCAATCAATGTGACCTTGTTCATACTAAGGACTGTGCGAATTTTGTGAGCAAATAAGTTTGGAAGACCATTAACAAATTTTTCTTTCCAAAACGACTGATTACTATCATCTCTAAGCATGACTCAGGAGATGAAAACATCTTTATACCATCTAAAATTAGACAACTTAGGACATCGGAGATTACTAAGTTCATCGTGAGTTCTAGCAGTAGTATTACTAGGTGTTCCAATGAAATGTTCAATTATTGTATAGAATAAAGTGTTGACTCCATCTTCTATACCTTGACCTATTTGTTCGTCAAATATAGGGAGACCATCTTCATTGATTTTGACTGCATGAATTATTTGGTTTTTTGACCCTATGGTTAGGTGTTTGTCCCAACAATATCAACAAAATCAAGATAAAAAATTTCTAATTTGGCTGTGCGCATGTAATCTTTCCATTCGTTAAAGATTTGTTGATGCTGTTCTTTACTGGGATAAGCTTGGTGGTAATTGTCTCTTCTATTTTGATTTTCTGGGGCTCTAAGATGACAATCTAAAGCTGTCCAGTTAATGACAAATTTTTTATTGAGTGTTCTTAGTTGGTTATTGATGACTGTAAAATCTTCGGCTTCAAAGTCAATTTGGGTTGGTGACTCAGGAGACTCAGATTTTTCTTTTCCCTTATCTGGTGTCTTATCATAACAGGGTTGATTAACTTGGGAAGTTTTTCTCAAAGATTCTAGTTTAAAATCTATCATGGTTTTTTCTAACTCTAGGTCTCGTTCTAGAGTTGAGGATGATGCTGCAAAGGAATGCCTTGCAGGAATATGCCTCTGGGATTGACCAGGGGTAGGTAACTGATGTATTTGGACTGTGGATTTTTGTGGAGGTTGATTTCCAAAACTAATTTTGATAATGCCGTCTAAATATCGTTGCACATAATCTAGATTATTTAGATCATGCTAAACTGGAGTTGGTTGACTTTCAGTGGTGAGTGTCCACTCAGAAGGAAGGGTGACATCTGACCACTTGATTGTGTGAGGTACTCGAATATTGGCCTCAGGTTTGCTACTTTGAATTAATAGAGTTTGATCTTTTGGGCTTTTATTAAGGGCTTGGAAATTCATATTAGTTCCAGTGACTTTATAATAGATTCTGTAAATTAAGGCTAACGGCTGTGTTCTTGGTAGGACTTGATACCCGAAAGTCTCAATATTTAAGGTTAATGTTTTCAAAATATGGGGATCACTAAGACTTACAGTAAAATCTGGGTAACAATCGAAGTGTACTGGACCATTAAATAAATTGGATTCAATTAATCCTAACGTACTGTCACTGAAATTCATGAACCTAGCATCTCAAAGGCAGAGAAGGACAGAAGCTTTTAATCCTAATCTGGTTAGAGGTTTGACTGCAACTTGGACTAATCCAATGTGAAGGAAATTGTTTCCATCATTTTTATGTTTTTTAATTGACTCAAGATTAAGCAACTAACATGTTTCATGTTTTTTACTCAAAGCATAAATTTGTTCAACTGTTTTAACATGGGTGGTCGACTTCAAACTATACAGACTCCATTTTTTCTTATAAATGTCCTGACTGGGGATTCTAGGTATATTCCAATCTTTATAATCTAATTCATTATTTGATTCATATTCTAATTGTTCTTCATTAACTATCTCTGGGAGACGACTAATACTGGCTCTAGAGCTACTTGAATTACAAGAGTTTGTTCTAAATAAGTGACTCATTTTGACTCAAGTTTCTGGGTTTGGACTGCTGAAGAAGAAGATGAACAGGGACTTCTATACTGACCCTTTACTCTTACAAGAAACCTAATGATTCTCACCCTTCGCTCATGCCACAACCGCTCATGCCTCACCTGGGACTTATTGTTTGGACTCTAGGACTTACTATTTGGACACCAAGAGAGAAAACCATCACCGAATAGGATCAAATTGAAGAAAGTCAAGAAAAATAGGGAGGGAGGTTTAATAAAATAAAAGGCTGAAGTGCCTATAAAAGGAGGCCTCTTCTACCCAGTAAGGACACAATCATCCAGAGCACGACCAAGCCTTTGTCGATCAACTGGAAATTCACTCTAGAGGCTCCATTCTCTGCTCCCATCTCTCCCTTTCTTCCTTAGTTAAAATCTTCCCAAACTCTCTCTCCCTTTACTTTAAGCCTTTGTTTCATTTAGAAATTCAGGCTCGTTCTCTCTACTGCTAAACTTGAGAACGCTTAGCTCCCATGACACAAGCTTTTCAAGCCAAACCATATTATTAATCTGTCACATTCATCTGGTTATTGGTGAAAGGAACCCAAAGTGTTTTCCAAGGTTTCACAAACTTTTCAAAACTCTCTTGGCGCCTGGTTCTTGAACTTAGACACAGGGGAATTTTTTTTGTCTTTTCCTTACAGCAGCCTGTTGCGCCTACCCAAGTGCAAGTAGTCACACGTAGTAATAATCTTGGAAGTCCAAGTATCTATCCTTAAGGAGCAGGTAGGCAAATATCTGTACACAAAGAAATAATTAAACGTACCACAATAAAAGTGACAAGCAAAATGGAAAAGTAATTTGATTTGATTGTTGTGGAAAATTGAGTTTAAAAATGAAATATCAATAATGGAAATGCTAAGGCATCAAAGTTCAATTCTTTAAAGAAAATATGTTTCATGCTCTTTAATCCAAATTATAACTCGATTAAAATCATCATTGAGAAACTTTAACCGGAAGATAAAGAAATTAAAACCAATTTAATTTTTCAAAGTGATCTTTTATTAATGATTGTTCAGAAAATGGAGTTGCTTAATATCTATTCTTTTAATTTAAAAGCATGCCAAGTCAGTTCTTAACAATGAGAAAAATATAATTGAACTCATGAAAAGATAATAGCACTTAACATCAATCAAAATAAAAGGATATGAAAATATTGAACAACCAAAAATAAAAGAATTTAGCAATTCATACCGTATATTGGATTAAAGAACAATTTACAAACTTACTCAAAGAACATTCCCTTTAGCCTTAGCTAGAGTTCTAGCAACTCATTACAAAGGAAAACATAAACTAAATGGATAAAGAAATCCGTCGTAGGGGTGCCCTTGCCAAATAAGTTGATGGGTGATTTATAGTAGTCAATGAGGTGAGTGGGAAGTTAATACATTCGTGGTGGGTGATGAAGGGTTTAATTGAGGGATTAATTGGATTAAACATGTGTTGATGGTGGAGAGTTAGTGGAAAAGAAATAACGGTGAGGTAAGTGGGCGTTAAATGGCTATGAATGACATGAAATAGGCTCTTTAGCTTCAACGGTTTTGTCTTCTCTTCTCCCTCTTTACTTCTCTTTATAATCACAATAATCCCACAATCAATTCTTCAATTAAATCTGCCAGCAATTCTCTTCACACCTAGCTTGAACTTGGACAAATGTATGTCTTCATCTTTTGGCTTTCCAACTTCCTACATAAGATAAATTCACCTAATAAGTTCACCAAATTAATATAGAAAATTCATAAATCCAGTTGGTGAGAATAAAATGTAACAACAAGTGAAATTATATTCATTAAGCCAAAATTATATCATAAAGTCTCCAAAATAATAGTAAAAAGATGTAATTTGAGACTCTCATCACAGCCCAACCCCATTCGTTAGGCTGCTGGAACAAAAAGACCCCTACAAATAGTATGACAATGGTTAGGTGAATGCAACTACTCAGGCTTCACTTGTAAACACAATCTGTAATTAATTTTAAATTTACCTTCAATTGGAATTTGTTTTAACAGTCTCATTCATCTAGTCACCAGGGTCCAAGGTACAGGGTACATTCTAATCACTTGTCGTTAAATCTCATATAACGGTAAATACTGCACCATGCCACAATTTAAGAAAAAAAATAACTTTATAATTAAAACACAAACTGAAAGTTCAATTATAATTTATACCAAAAAATAATGAATGCTTAACCACATCCACTCCTCTCACTCTCACTGTCTGCCCCTTTCCATCTACAGAAAAGCCTCCTTCCTTTTATGGGTGGTTGGTTCTCTCTCTTATTAATTTCTAGTTTTAAGTTTTATGATTTCAGTTCTTACAAAACTATGTAGGTTTTCATAAATGAGTTTAGCACTTTCAAGATTCAAAAATTTCAATACAAAAATAAAGCAGAGATTCTTGTGTTATTTTGGAAAGCTATCCAAAAAACCATAATGCAACACACGAAATTCTATAAGTTGGGAATAAAATCAGTAAATATCTAACTATACATGCCTAAATAATTCAATGGTAGGTTTAGACAAGGAGACCTATAAAAAGTATGTTCGAATCCTTGGATTTGCCGAGATAATTTGAAGTACAACAATTTCTATAGAAGTGTTCATAAGTCGAGATCGTATTCAAAAACTATGAAATTTTCGAAAATGGAGATGAAGAGTGTGCAAGCAAGCTGTTTGTGGATTATGGTACTTTTAATATCGACTTCATATGCTAGTGCAGATGATCAATCAATGTTACCAAAATTGCATTGGCACCTATACATTGCTACTGTAGCTATGTGTTCAACTATGCTTGGGGCAACAACAAAGCTCCTAGCCCCCAATAATTATGTACAATGCAATGTGGTTGAGACAAGGCACATTTTGTGCACTCAAAACCTGTTGTGTAGCCAAGTCCTAAAGTTGAAATGCAAATCAAAGTGGAAATTGAAAAGCTGTTAGCTGCCATATTCATCAAACCGCATCACCAACACCGCGCAGCTCGCTCGCAAAAAAAAAAAAAAGCAAAAAAAGAAAAAAAAAAAAAAAAAAAAAAAAAACATGATTAAGGTAGAGGTAAGGTACACGGACTATCGGGACCTCAGTCGAGCTTGCCCAAAAGATGAATTCCCACTGCCCAACATGGACATTTTGATCAACTCAACCTCAGGGCAGGGATTGCTGTCATTCATTGATGGATTTAGTGGCTACAACCAAATAAAGATGTCTACCAAGGATGCTGAGAAGACAGCCTTTCAAACACCATATGAAAACTTCTATTACACAGTCATGTCGTTCAGTCTCAAAATTGCCAGTGCTACCTACCAAAGAAGTATGACAGTGGTATTCCATGACATGACGGGGAAGGAGGTGAAAGACTATGTGGATGCTCTGGTGGTGAAATCAAAAACCAAAGAAGGCCATTGAGAAGTCCTGAGAAAGGTACTGGAAAGGTGTCGGCTGTATAGGTTGAAGATGAACCCAAAGAAGTGTGCGTTCGGAGTTTCATCTAGCAAGTTTTTAGGATTCCAAGTACACCAACGTGGCATAGATGTGGATCCTGAGAAAGCCAGGGCCATAAATTCTCTTGCACCACATAAAAGTCCAAAGGAATTGAAAAGCTTCATGGGAAGATTATCCTATATTCGGTGCTTCATCCTAGGCCTTGCTACCACAATGAGTGTTTTTACCATTTTCTTAAGAAGAGCTAGTCATATGTATGAAGCAAAGACTGTCAAGAGGTCTATCTGCAAGTTCAACAACTGATCACCAAGCTGCCCACCATGAGGGCACCCATTCCGGGACTTCTACTCAAGCTTTATTTGGCTGCAACGAATGCTACGGTTAGAGCTTTGCTTGCTCAAGATGACCATGATGGGGAGGAAAGCCCTATTTATTACGTGAGTAGACAGTTAAGAGGAGTCGATGCCAGATATTCGAAGACTGAGCTCTTATGCCTTGCCCTTGTCTACACTGCACAACAATTGCAACATTACTTCATTGCTCAGAAGCTACAACTTACAGTGAAGTCCGATCCTGTGAGGTATTTGCTCATGAGACCAGTATTGTCAAGACACCTTGCACGTTGGTTGCTACAACTATCTGAGTTTGATATCACATGCATAACCCCAAGAGCTATCAAAGGACAAGCTGTGATCGACATGTTAACCATGTTCCTTGAAGCAGAGGAGATCATCCTTTCTGAAGAAGTTTTGGGAGAGCTGCCGGAAATGGTTGCCGTTGCTACGGAGGAAGAACCATGGACCCTCTACTTTGATGGTTCTTCTACAACCAATAGCGGAGGAGCAGGCGTGGTGCTCATTAACCCTGAGGGGCAAGAGAAATGGACATGGAAAAAATGAAAATCATTGGTGACTCAAATCTAGTGCTAAGTCAATTGCAAGGGAGCTTTGCTGTAAAAGAGGCGAGCTTGGCCCTATATCGTACAGCTACCAAAAGACTTATTAATTCTTTCAAGCAAATTGTGCTGGAGCATATTCCAAGGATCACCAACAGGTATGCCAATGCTTTGGCTACATTGGGGTCAAAGCTCTCATTTGTCAAAAAATAGCCTAACATTACCATGATAAAGAAGGACAAGCCAATAGTCGAAGCAATGACCCAGGAAAAGCTACTGGAAGAAGACGATTGAAGAAAGCCAGTCGAAGAAAAGTTAGGCGAAGCGAGTAACATAAAAGAGTCGAAAGATTATGCAATTATCTTTCGAGAATTATACAGACGTCTCCTGGGAGGTATTTTGACCCGGTGCATAGGGATGGCAGAAGCACAAAGGAGGTTGCAAGAGGTACATAATGCCACTTGCAACTTGGAGCCAATGATCAGCTTGTATCGGCACCTGCAGTGCAAAGGTTATTATTGACTAGAAATGAAGAAAAAAGCAGCTAAAATTTAGTCCAATTGCCCCACATGTTCTACGATACTCTCTACCGAATAATCTTTTACCATTTCATTCGCGGAAGATTAGAAGGCTCTATACTTAGCATTCTTCATCGAAGGGACTCTGCCAACCAGCTTCAAACATGCTTACAAGCTCAAGAAGATAGTAAACAGGTATTTCATTGACGAATCGACTCTCTATCGTAAAGGGTTCAATGGTGAGACGTTAAAATACTTGGGGGAGTCAGAAGCACATCAAGTCATGCAAGAAACACATGCTGGGGAATGCGATGAGCACCATGGAATGAAAAGTGACACGCATAACTTTGTGAAGAGGTACCATACATGCCAAATTCATGCCAATCTAAGTCACAAGACTCCTACGATGTTGTAAGACATGCGAACTCCTTGGCCTTTTCACACTTGGGGGCTTGACTTAATTGGGACAATCCATCCACCCTCTGACGGTTACATATGGATCCTCACTGCCACGGAATATTTCATGAAATGGGTCGAGGCAATTCCTCTTCGGAAGGCCACATGGGTTGTTATCTCAAATGTTATTCGGGAATACATTGTGTGCAGGTTTGGAATCCTATACAAAATTGTTACTGACACTGGCACTTCTTTTGTTAATAAGCAGGTGAGCTCGACACTTAGTGACTACGTTATCAAGCATCATTGCTCCACGCCTTATTACCCACAGGGGAACGTTCAAGCGGAGGCCACCAACAAAACTATACTGAGAATTTTGAGCAAAATGTACGAAGGTGGTTGGAGTGTTCATCTGCCGAATGCTTTATGGGCTTATCGCACCTCTCCAAGAAGTCTCACAGGTTTCTCGCCTTATTCACTTGTATATGGGTCCGATGCTATCTCACCTGTAGAGATCACCATTCCCACTACCAGAGTATTAGCTATCAACAATCTCGAATGGGATGCAAAGTCATGCTCGGACTGGAGCTTACTAGACCTCGAAGTTGTGGACAAAAAAAAAAGAATGGAAGCCGAAAGAAGGATAACACTTTACCACAAAACTGTTGCCCAAGCATATAACAGGACAGTCAAGCCTCAAGCCTTCAAGCAAGGAGATCTCGTGCTAAAAGTTGTTGAGCATGTGAGAAGATAAGTGTTGGGACCTTCCAAGTTTGCTCTGCAATGGGAAGGCCCGTTTGCAGTCAAGGAAGTACATAGTAGTGGCTATTATCGCTTGACCTCTGTCAAGGAAGGCACGCTAACGAATCCCATCAATGGAAAGTGGCTCAAACCTTACTACTGTTAAGTCAACATGATGTCTTACCTCTTGTTTTATTGCATTTCTTTTCATTTTAAGTATGACTTCCTTCTATATTTCGACATTTTGTTTTAGGAAACTTTTGTAAAATGCACCATCTAGCATAGACTTTTGTTTTGTAAACTTTTGTTTTATGACTTCCTTTTAGCATAGGCTTTGAAATGAAAATGAAGGAGTATTTTGAAAAAAAAAAAAAGGCTTTCTCTGGAATCTTTGCCTTTCTATATTTCAGACATCCATTGCGCTAAAATACATACATATATATATATATGTGCGCATAATGATAAATAAATAAGTAAATAGATACCCAAAAATAGAAAAGAAAAAAAGATGTATATATATGATAATAGAATACCAATAAAGGGAAACGCTACTTAGCAGTAAGCATGCCAAGCAAAGTCACTAGTGTGGGATCCCAAGCTAACATTCGTAGGTGTTGTTAGAAAACTTTGCAAAAAAAATCGTGCACATGCTACTCCGGCTCCCCTAAGGCATAACAAGAGAGTGCATTTTTGTTTAAACCATTAGACAAGCCATGCAAGAAAAACTGTATATTGAGGATTTTAAGTAAAGATCCTGACAAAATTTTGGCAGCATGTACCTTGTTTTAAGGCTACCAACTTGTCAGAAGATCTCAAGCAGGAATAAATTCCACCAACCAGGCAGCATGTATACATCAAATAAGGATTACAATATGTCTCAAGCATTCGGAAAAAATAAATTAGGTTCCAGCAGTTCAAACATAACAACATTACAATGCGGAGTTGCTACAACACAAGTTTCGGGGCATCTAAAAGAAAGGCAGCCCAAGCAAAATCAAATTATACAAGCTAAAGATCAATGCCAGGAATCTTAACATGCGCCAAGTCGGTCAATCTCTCACACCAAGTGAATACAACCTACATGGCAAAGTAAGAATAAGTGTCAAAAAATAGGCTGGTGCTAGAAGAGGTTACTATAAAAATGAAAAAAAAATAAAAAAAAATAAAGTAAAACAGGAAGGGATGAAAAGTCACGAACCTCGAAGCCATTGGATGTAGCTAAAAAATAATGGAAGAAACCATATGAGATTATCTAGCTGCTTCCTCCGCCACGCAGTCAGCGCCGTCAGCAGAAACACCTTTGGCAAGAATAAGGGCATGCAGCTCCCGACACTGGTTCTCTAGCTCAAGTTGCTTAAGGTTCAAGGTGTTTGCTGCTGCTTTTATCTCATTAGGGCCGGGAAATGATCCCATACTATGGATGGCCCGCGCCCAAAACACAGCACGTGCTAAATCTCTCACCAAGTTCAGGAGAAAGTCTACCTGAAAACCCAAGGTCATGGCCTTAGTTCCAGCTTCAGAAGCTCCACTATTGCTCGTACGGGAACCAGTGAACCTGGCATGTAGCATACTCATGCTGTGACGTTTTGGGGTTGCGTGTGGGATTATAGGAGCTGCATCATTTCCTTTCCTCCTTGGGGCAGTACATACTTTTCCTTAAGAAGAAAGAGAGGTGGAGTAAAAAAAATATATTAAGTATTTTTTTTTATAAAAAAACAAAATATCGGGCATTGGACAGTTGTCGATACTTACTGCGAAGAAGAGCAGTTTTTGGCGTCTTGCCAGCTCGATCGCGACCCCTGAATGCTGTGAACATTTGAAGTTGTAGATGTCCAGGGGGAGTTGTTTCTATGGTTGGGGGAGGGCCACTTGATGCTACTTTGGGAATGAACCTTCTAGATTTATTGGCAGCTTGCTTCTTCTTCGCACTATAGTTTTCCTCCCGCTTCCGTTTTCTCGACACCAGCACCGTGCTTTTTCCGGAACTGCGAGGACTCCGCGTTCCCAGTTTTTGTCTTGACTTCAAAAATTCCCCAACAATGTCACCACATTTGGATATAAAAGGCAGGTTGCGTTTCTCGCTTAGCGGAATAGCTTTCTCTTCCAACACTAGACCAGCATGACGAGCTGTTGAAGGAAGTAATCTATCATAGTGGAAGGACTGGAATTCACGAAAAGAAGCAAGGCAACGGTTCCAATAGGCTTGATAACCCGGTAAGAAGCCGCCGACTCTTCCCTTGCCGGCTAAGATAAGGGGCCTGCTGTCATCCGGCACGTTACCACTGCTCCAAAAGACCCTGTGAAGCAAGAATGGGTCACTATGGTTAAGACTGATTGGCACTCCCTGGTCAAGCTCGAATTGTCGTCTAACCCGATGTGGTGAGTAAACCACAGAGATCTATGAGCGACTGTCCCCTAAAGTAGGCAATGGGAGATAGGCAATGTTCAACAGGGCATATTTTCTAAAACGGCAACCTTGTGCCATGGCTACTGGAACCTCGACTGTGCCCTCAACATCAGCATAAAAGGGCACATAAGTGAATGCCTCTGCTAAAACACCATAAGGACGGAAGATAAAGTTTTGAATGTTGTCCAATAACTTTAGGAAATTTTGGCCTTTCCTCTGCATTCGCTTAAACCACCTACAGATCAAGGGGAGTTTGTTCGACATGTAGGAACCCTTGCCAGAGTCAGCAAGCCGCCTAGTATGCAAATAGGGGAGTGGGTACACATCCAATCCTTTGAGGCGTTCCCACAAAAATACCTGTAAAAAACCAGAGTTCAAAAGAGTCTCCACACCTATGGTTCCTGCTGTACATTTCTCGAGAAGCTGAGCCTGGTCAAGTAGTCGTTATAAGTGTCCCAGGAACATGGAGGCTAAAGGAATCGTGTCACCTCGGGCTATAGCCAAAGCCAAAGGGAATACTCGCTCATGTAGGCAATCTCGAGAGAAGTCACAAAAGATAAATCTCCCAAAACATAGCGAAATAAATGCAGCAAGCCAGCAAGGTCCCTGTTTGTTTGCATCCCCGAAATATTGTACCCAGTTGCTTAATCGAAGCGAGGTGCTGGGGAAACTTGGAGCCCCTTTTTGCAGAACCTCAAGCTTGTCCATGTCCTCTGGGGTTAAAGCAATGTCAAAGAGGTTCCAATTACCACAAATAGGGAGGCGGCAAGTGTTTCCCACATCCTCGAAAGTGGGGGTAAATTCCCCCCATGAACATATAAAGGTCTGAGTCTCGGAACTCCACCTCCTGACCACATGGCGGAGCATCTTTGCTTCAACATGAATGTCACACATTTTGGAGAGGAAAATTGCATCAAGTACTTGCGCCCTGTACAAAATGTCACAAGTAGACGAGTCCAGCAGCTTGTGGTCGACCCATTCTGACCAACCCTTGCTAATACCTCAAGGATACTGAAAAAATAAAGGGACAACTGGGAATAAGCCATCCTCAATGCAACACCTAGATATGGATGCAGGTTCGATCACAGAGGTAGCCTCAGGCATCGGCTCATCAACAACAATAGGGTTCTCATAGGCATCTTCAAGCAGCAAAAGGGGCGCTCCCCTTTTTAGTCTGTCATCCATGGAATAGAGATTATCCATCATAATTGGCAGGAGATTGGTGGAAGCCATAGTAGAGTTCACTAAGTCATTGATATTTGCAAAAAATGTGAGACAAAAGGAAATGGATTAGTTTCGGCACCTTCACGCCTTCAATCCTGAATGCTCAAAATCCACACACACAAAAACAAAACAAAACCACAAAAGGGGGGGGGGGGCGGGGGGCAGGAGGGAAAGCACACGCACACGCTATATGCATCCCTGCTAGTCTCATGCAATGATGCCATAGGATCAAGCCCGTGCCTTTGTACAATTTCACTCAACAGCCAAGAAAAATCTATATGATACAGGTGTAAAAATCTAAGGAGCCCCAAACTACATTAATCAATTATTTAGTGGGGTCGTGGATTGACTATTCTTGAATAAAGACGAAGACATCCGATATATGATAGAAGCAATATTACATGCTTATTCTCTTCCTACCTTGCCCTGGCATAATCTAAGGTGTTGCACTCAACCAGGACACGCTATCGCTTAATGGGAATTTGAAGGTTCTCAATTAGTGTTCAGAATCTAGTTTCAACCAAAATCGGAACGAGTATAGAGCATCAACCAAACATGCAGCAAAAAAAAATGGGGAAAAGAATGAAGAGGAACTAAGGAGAATTGCAATTTTTCTTTTTTCAAGGGGGTACTCTCAGAACAAATATATATGTATGTGATTATGCATATATGTATATATATATATATGTGCGCAAAGATGAGTTGAAGAAACAAAAAGGGGAAAAAGGAACGATGCTTACCAGCACCATTGCTTGCGTTTTTTTCCAGCAGTCCGCCAAATTGGGAGAACATATAGGGAAATCGAGAACTACTCTGCGATTTTCTCTGTAGAATACGCCACACCTCGCGAAGGGATCTCCTCAAGCCTGGCCTTGGACGAATTTAAGGGAAATGCGAAGTTTTGGGGTTTTTAAAGACAAATGGTTACCTCTCCTAGAGGTTGTGAACGGTTTCTTCACAAGAAGAGCGGTGGGTACAGATAGTAGTTGCAGATGGTGCCCTTGATGCCTTCCCTTCTCTAAATCTGGGCGTGATGAAAGGTCAGCAAAAAATAGAGAGAGGAATGACATGAAAGTAAGGGTGGGCATCAATCCGGTCGAACCGATTATATTGGTTTGGTTTGGTTTGGTTTGGTTTTGACCAAAGAAAAAGTCAACAGTTTGAAAAATCGATTCGAACCGGTTTGGTTTGGTTCAGCTGTGGTTTGGGAGTTTTGAAAACTGTCCTAAACCAAACCAAACCGATTATAAATCAATTTATTATTTGTTTAATTTAATTTACATGTGGCAAGGCTTGAGTGGTTATTTGAAAGTGTACCATGTACCCTAGCACACCTAATTGGACTCCAAAACTAATACTCACGGACTCCATTCTCTCTCCCTTATATTTGCCTGAGCCTCTCTCTCTTCTTCCTCCGTTTCAACCCTAGCCGCAACTCCCTCTCATCATCACTCACTCACTCACTCTCTCTCTCTCTCTCTCTCTCTCTCTCTCCTCTCTCTCTCTCTCTCTCTCTCCTCTCTCTCTCTCTCTCTCTCTCTCTCTCTGTGTGTTTTGCACTCCTCATCATATCTCTCTTTCTTTTGCAGGGCTTTCTTTGGATCATTGTATAGATGTTTAGCAAGTGGAGCAAGAGCAGCATTTCTAGTTTGTCCTGAAAATCTGGACCAGCGCGAGCTTATTTTGAATTCTGCAATGCGTGCTGGATTTGCTGGGGGTGTAGTTGTTTATTATCCCAACAAGTATGCAACCAATGAAAGCAATCTTGTGATAGGCTGTTACTTTGTTCATGCATGAGCCTATATATACAAACACCCATCAATTCTTGCCTTTAGACTACTGATCTGGTATTTTGCTTCATTTTGTGTTTGTCTCTACGTGTGTCTGAATTTGTTTGTTTTTTTTAATTAAGATCGGTATTTTGTAGTTCAATTTTCTATTATTGCTCTAATTGCTACAGTTTATTTTTGTACTGTTTTGGTTTTTGTTTTGTGAATCATCAAATGATTGATGCAATCTCTATTTGGTGTCTGACCATCTGTATTTTGTTTGTAATTGACATCAAGAATTTGTGAGATCTATGGAGTTAATATACATTTGTTTGAATTTCATGCAGTTGGCTGCAAGAATTGTTGTCTCAAATCTACACAAGAACACTATGAAATCCTTATCAGAGACGTGAGTTTTATCAAGATGTGGCAACCATTGAAGCTTATTTCTATTGAAGCTAAGAATTGTATTAATCAATTGTATTATTTCTATTGGCAGCCATTGAAGTTTTATCAACATGTCTTATTTCTATTTACATAAGAATTGTATTAATTAATTGGCAGCCATTGAAGCTTATTTCTATTTGTATGCAAATGTGGGATTGTATGTTGAACTTTGTTTTACTAGAAATTTGGTTAACTTTCATATTACTTTTTTTGGTTACATTGGGAGAAAGGAAACTCCTTGGTTTACAAGAAATTTGGTTTACTTTCTTGTTAACTTTGTTTTACTTTGGCAACATTTGCAAGTTACTGTAAGACATGTTGTTTGATGCCTAAACCGGCCGAACCAAACCGCACCAAACCAGTCATGAATGGTTTGGTTTGGTTTGGTTTTCATTTTGATTGTAGGTGAAACCGAACCACACCGGACCGTGAAAATTTAATTGGTTCGGCCGTGGTTTGAGGGTCAAACCGAACCGTGCTCACGCCTACGTAAAAGGCTTGAGTTTGCACGCACATGGGAAAGAAATTGAGAGAAGGAGGGGGAAGAAAGGAAAATAATTTTTTAAATGAAACAGCTACTTGGGAACCGTAAAAAGCTGTTGAAAGTAATTATGGCATCATCACACACGCGGGAAGCGAAAAATGTCATATCACCAACGTGGATTTAAGTTTTGGGCTGGGTTTGATTAACTCCCCTACCCAAAACCATAATGCAACACATGAAATTCTGTAAGTTGGGAATAAAATCTGTAAATATCTAACTATACATACTTGCCTAAATAATTCAATGGCAGGTTTAGACAATGAGACCTATAAAAAGTATGTTCGAATCCTTGGATTTGCCGAGATATTTTGAAGTACAACAATTTCTATAGAAGTCTTCATAAGTCGAGATTGTATTCAAAAACTACGAAATTTTCGAAAATGGAGAAGAGTGTGCAAGCAAGCTGTTTGTGGATTATGGTACTTTTAATATCGACTTCATATGCAAGTGCAGATGATCAATCAATGTTACCAAAATTGCATTGGCACCTGTACATGGCTATTGCAGCTATGTGTTCAACTATGCTTGGGGCAACATCAAAGCTCCTAGCCCCTAATAATTATGTACAGTGCAATGTGGTTGGAACAAGGCACATTTTGGTAGTGCTTGGGGCAAGGCACATTTATGATGTTGCCCTATCAAAGCTCCTAGCCCCCAATAATTATGTACAACATATCAATCAATGTGGTTGGAACAAGGCACATCTATGATGCGATTGTACTGAAATAAGTCCATGGTTCATTAAAAGTGGAGTTTCAGTGTTCAATATTTTCTATGCCATTATTCTCTCTCTATCCACAGCAGACATTGCCATAATTGATTTTTTTTCTTTTTCTTTTTTCTTTGCAATAACTTGTGATAACCCCACTTTAATGTTTACGAAGTACAAGACTACTAAATTGAAAACATTATTTTACCCCTTTTTTAAAAAAAAAAAAAAAAAAAAAAAAAAACACTCAAATAAAATTAAATTTGTAATTTTTTTTTCATGGAGAGGAGAAAATCGAACATAGAACCTCGAACGCATTTATGAATGTTCTTAGATACATGATTCACAAGCTCCATGAAAATTGTTTATATCTTATGAAGTACATCTTCTGATCTTCATATGCATTGATTGATGAGATAATTACCATTATTTCTCTTTTATATATGGAATATTTTGCCTCATTGCCAAAACCATAACAAATGAAGAGGGCATCTAACAATATAGAATTGAAACACAAAAGCATTTCACTGTTAGAAGATTAAAGTCATAATCCCACAAGTCTACCAACTAACAGCTTCCAAACCTTGAATCAGTGAATCAGTCACAAAAGAAATTAGCCAAATTCACCAACCTATGACAACTAAGAACATTAGCCTACAAATCAATCTTCTTGTTAAGGCACATCATCCATCCTATTATACAATCCTTCCCATTTACCTACACAACACAAAACAAGAAAAAAATCATTCATCAAATTTAAATAAATAAATAAAAAGAAGTGGAACATGAGGCTGATTTAGCATTCAAATCAAAAGAGAACTTACAGAATGAAGAGCAAAATAGCAGGTTGCCTCAGCCCCATATCTAGGAATCAGATGAGACCACCTTCATCTTCTTCTTCTTCTTGCTTTCCAACAATGCATCCACACAGGCAGCCAAAACCTGCTTCTGTGACTCCATTATGAGCTCATTTTGCCTCATTTCCATCTCCATCCTCATCTTTACAATATCCCTTGCCATCTCCATCTTCTTCTTCTCCATCTTCAAAAACACTTCTCCCAAAAACTCAACCGATGAAGCCATCTGTCCAATCGGATCCTCCACCTCTTTCCCAAAGCCATCAGAATCCAAACCCCCTCTAAATTTCTTATAAAACCCACTTATTGTACCAGCTCCATAGCTGCAATCACGCTTCAAGTTCAGCTTGGGGCTAAACTTCTCATTACAAGTTTTGCCATAACTCTTGCTCCTAAATTCTGCAGACCCCAAATTCCTATCACCCGACGATTTTACAGGAAACCCACGAGCCCCATCATTTCCACGACTCACATATCGATCAAAACCGGCTGAAAAGCTAGAATTCTCCCTTCCTTTACCACGAACACCAGCGTTGACCCGAAACCCACCTCCAACGCCAGCACCTTTCCGGGTTTCCTCATCTGGGTCGCTCAAGTTCTGATCAGATTCAGCCAAATACCTATCATTTTCATCCTTTCTCACCCGAAACCCACGTCCAAATTGAACACCTACCCGGGTTTCCCGATCCGGGTCGGACCCAAAAAGCGCAGGAGCCTCACATTCTAAGTCAAACATGGGCCGAAAAAGATCCCAGGTAGAGAGAAACCGACCCGGATGCGTTGAACCGCGCTGTTTCTCATTCCGGTAGCGCTTCCGGAGCTTCTCCATCTTGTGGCGGCACTGTATGGCGGTCTTGGGCGGCGATACTAGCGGGCACCGGCCAGCCAGGGCGGCGGCCACCGTTTCCCAGTCGGAGGCTCTGAGATTGGATCGGCCGAGAGCGGACCACGTATCCTTGTAGATGGAGATCAGGGCTTGCGCTTCGTCGTTGGTCCAGCAGGGTGGGGGGAACTTGCGGGGCTTAGGTTGGGGGGGCGCGGCCATGGCGGGTTTGGGTTTGGGTTGGGGTGTAGGATAAGGAGGAGGGGAGCGTAGGTTAGGAGAGGAAGGAAGGTTGTGGTGGTTGGGAATGGCATTGTTGATTTAATGAGGGAGAGAGAGGTGGGGGCAGTGGAGTGGGTGATGCTAACGTGCGCAGAGTCTGTAAGGCTACTAGAGAGAACTATACTCTCCGCCCCTATAGGCCAATTTGTACCACCACGCCGCTACTGGCAGTCAGCTGAGCCCACGATACGGAAAAAAGTGCTTTTTTGTGTTGTGGGGGACAGGCGGTGGTTGCTTTGCCCTCTCTGATCTGATTAGACCCTTCTGCTCTGGCTTCAAATTGGCTTTGGGCTTTTAGCTTAAAAAAGGGCAAAATTAGAAAAAGCACTTTCTGACTTGGGGTTGGGCCTCAGAAAGCAAAAATGTGAAAAAAGTAACAAAAATTTTGAACCCGACGTGAATCGAACACGCAACCTTCTGATCTGGAGTCAGACGCGCTACCATTGCGCCACGGATCCCATGTTGATGACTTCTTGCATCTTTAGCTATATATTGAATTGACATAAATTCTATTCCAAAAAACACATTTTTGTTGAGTGTTTCATGCATCATTTATCAATCTGATATAAATTCCATGATTTGTCTTATTTTTGTATAAATATTTTCTTCAAAAATTATAACTAAACTTCATGTGCAAATCTACAATATTTTCTTCCTTTTGGTCTTTTGTTAATTTCATTATGGAACTTTTTCTTCACCATATGCACCATTGGTCTACTGAAAGAAACCATCTTTCGGTATGTTAAAATTGGTTTAAGCCACTTTAATTGTGCTCCTTCTCCCATGCCATGAATACATTTATCATTTCGAGTCGTATGAATTTCATTTGTCTGATAATTAGTCTGTCATTTGTCTTAACTTAGTAAAACTGAAAAGATAAAATGCAGCTGAAGAAAGGGGGGGAAAATTTCCTCAACGGTCATGCCTTTTTATGTATACAAAATTTCATTATTCCAGAAGATGTTTTCAGATTTCAGAACAACATAAATAAATCTATAAGAAGTGACGAACGAAACAAAACTGGAAAAGCTTACGCAGCAGAACTACTATTGATCTGAAACTCATTCTTAGATCTTAACCTGTCTTTCCTCAACCTATCTGCTATTAAAAAGGCCAGCTCAAGTGACTGGGATGCATTCAGCCTGGGGTCACAATGTGTGTGATAGCGAGAGGTCAAGTCATTGGCGGTCACAGTCTTCGACCCTCCAATGCACTCTGTCACATTCTGCCCAGTCATCTCCAGATGCACTCCTCCAGGATAGCTCCCTTCTTGTTCATGGACGTCAAAGAAAGCTCTTAATTCAGCCTGAGGCAAAGAAGATCACCTCCAAGTAATCAGTAAAGTAGATGAGCGACTCACAATTCACATTGTGATAAAATATATAGAATGACCAGAGTTTTAGTTCCACTGATTTAGTACTTACCCTGATTGCATCAAATGGCCGTGTCTTCAGCCCACACGGAGCCTTTATAGTGTTCCCGTGCATGGGATCACTGACCCATGTGACGATAAGCCCTGCCTGACGCACAGCTCTGATCAAATGCGGGAGCTTTATCCGCATATTATCTGCTCCCATCCTGGTAATTATTGTCAGCCTACCAGGCTTGTTATGAGGGTTGAGAATTTCACACAATTCCACAAGCTCCTTTGGATCCATCTTATCACTCACCTGCACAATTTCAAACATCAGTGCCTAATTAATGAAGGCAAACTATTTAGCAACCTTCTTACCCCTCCTACAACACCATACTAACTACGAAAATGCAGAAAGAAATTTGTATTGCTAAACTATGATACACAAAATCAACAAGACAAACATCACGAAAATAACATTTTGATAAAACAATCCCCATATTTTATTGTTTCTTTGAATTCTAAAGTATCAGCTACTTTACCTTAATGCCAAGAGGATTGGATACGCCCCGAAGGAATTCAACATGTGCTCCATCCAATTGTCGAGTCCTCTCGCCTACCCAAAGCATGTGTGCAGAACAGTCGTAATAGTGGCCTGTTGTTGAATCCTCTCTAGTCAAGGCCTGCTCGTACTGTAAATGAAGGCATTCATGAGATACCCAAAACTCAACTGTATTCATTATCGGATTGTCAGCAGTAGCCCCTGCAGCATTAAGGAATCCAATAGCTTCATCTACTCTCTGTGCAAGTTCCTTGTACCTATCCTCAGCCAGGGAAAATCATTGCAAGCAACAAGAAACAAACCTTCGTCAATGTGTATAGTGAAGCACTATTTCACATCTAGAATTCAATACTATGGGATGATAATAGGAAACCTGGGACACATTAGAAAATGTAGCAGAAACTTCTAGGTGTCTACCTCCACCATCTTGATTTTTAGCTGATGAAATATTAAATTTGCAAAGTACGCCAGAGAAGCTTTGGTTAAATGACAAAACCCAAATCTTGGCAACCTCTGGCATGCCTTATAACATCTGAGACCACTAAAATGCAGGTGCAAACTCCCTGAGAAAATGGCAATTGCTTGCTTGACTGGTATGTAACTTTCTGGCTCATTCAGAGACAAAAAATTCCCAGAAGTGCAGGCTAAATGGAAGAAAACTAAAAGACACAATTGGAAGTATTACATGAAAGTCAAGATGTGATTTATACCTGTTTCCTTGCTCACTATGCTCTACGAAGTCAAGCTTCCAATCTGCGACTCTCTGCATGGCAGCATACCCACCAGTGGCAAATGCTCTAAGGAGATTCAGAGTGCCAACAGATTGGAGGTATGCTCTGAGTAACCTTTGTGGGTCTGGTGTTCTGGATTTCTCATCAAACGCATCACCATTGATATTGTCTCCCCGATAACTTGGGAGTTTCACACCATCTTTAACCTCAAATGGTTCAGACCTAGGCTTTGCAAACTGGCCTGCCATTCTTCCAACCTGTCATATAAAGTAAATATCAGATTAGACTGTTTTTAGTGAAGCTGCATATGCCGAATCAGTGGGCCTTGTTTACTGACAGGTATACTTAATTAATAAGTGGGAGTGTCTTCCTGGCAATTACAGTACCAATTTCTTATGACAAGGATAGCTGCAATCAAAATCATCAACAACATAACATTGTTGCGAAAGATTAAACAAATTTCCACCATATCACCCTTTACCCTACACTCTCTATGGAAGATCTATTTAAATGTTTAGGATAACAAGCCTAAAAACCCATTAGGTATGTTGTAGTGAAACCTAACAAATCATGATCTAAAGAATCTAGTAAGGCGGCTCAATTGTCATTGTTGTTGAGTGTATGCAGCAGCCAGTACTGCCGTACATTAATCCACCCCAATCCAATATAAGATTCAAACATTTCACTTCTTTCCAGTATATTTTCAGCAGCCATGATAGGCATTGAGGAGATGGTTGCAGTCAGCATCTCAATAGCTAATATCATGAAAGCCCAATTATATCAAACCTACAACTTCTTTTCCTTTCTTTTAAATGCACAAATCATTGAATATCTTTGTCAATACAGTGAGTGGGGCATACTTTTGTCAATATAGTGGGCACTAATCCCCCAACTCCACAACAACAACAACAACAAAAACAACCAAAAAAAAAACCCAACACAAACCAAAATCACTAAACTGATAATTAAGCAGAACGTGTATGTAATTAAGAAACAAAAAGACTCAAAAGTGCATAGCCAATCCCATGCAAACATAAAATAATCCTAAAAAGGACAAGAATGAAAACCCAGATAATCAAAACAAAAACCCAACAAATTCACCAAAAGCCCAAATGATAATTCCAGAGGAAGAAGAAAAAGGGACCTTGATGACGGGCATTTGAGCACCGTAAATGAGAGTGATGGCCATCTGCAAGAAGACCCTGAAGGTGTCTCTGATGTTATTGGCATTGAACTCCTTGAAGCTCTCAGCGCAGTCTCCACCCTGCAGCAAAAAGGCCTCTCCCACTGCGGCCTTGCCCAGCCACGTCTCCAGCCGCCGCGCCTCTCCGGCGAACACGATTGGCGGGAACGTCTCCAAGGTGGTCAAAACGGTTCGGAGCTCATCAGAGTCCGGGTAAACGGGCAGCTGATGGGCCTGCTTGGATTTCCACGAGTCCAAGGCCCATTCTTGAGGCCCAAGAAGGTGACCAGTGGCGGATGAAAGTGTGGAAGAAGAAGAAGAAGAAGAAGAAGAGGAAGAGGAGATTGATGAGGCAACGATGGTGGCGGGGTTGGGCTTTTTGGGGAGATTGAGGAGCTTGAGAGGGCTTGTGGGTGGAGGGGTGATGGTGGTACGGGAGAGGAAGGGGTTTGGGTTGGTGAGATTAGCAGAGCCTGTGGCTGTGGTTGTCAGAGCCATATCAGAATGTTCTTTCTGGTGTTCAGTTTTCAGTCAGAGACTGTGACGCTGGATATTATTAGAAGATTTCCTGTTGTTGTCTGTTGATTTATTATATAAAGGGCTATCAAATGTCTTTTCATATGGACTCTACACAAATTACTCACCACATCATCTTCTTTCGATATTAACAACTCTCTTATAACGAACTTTATTTAATAATAAAGTGAAATAATCATCTTTATCCATATGTATACAGATTATACAGGGATAAGGAGAGTTCAATTTTCTTTTTTCGGAAATAAAAAAGATTCGATGATACATTCAAAATATAAGAAAATACATTTTCTTACCAACTCATATTCTAAAAGAACCAAACTACTAACAATGGATATAATAGTAAAGGTCTAGGAGTGTAATCAATTGAGATTTTAATAAATTCAAAAGGTATTTAAGAGTTTTTGTGTGTTCAATCATGATTTTATATTCAATTCAAACAAGAACACGAGAAATTCTTGAATCTGAATTAGTTTGATAGTCAATTAAAATATGACATTGTTGCCTATTATATTTAGGTAGCCGCTCAAACTACAAACCTTAGATAGATGTTGTGTCTAATTGAATTTGTGCTTCAATAGTTTATAGTGAAAATGCGAAATCCTTGTACTTTTAAGTTAGAATCTTCCACCAAGACCACTCGAAATTCTCAAAATAGCGATGATGCCAGAAAATGTATCAATTTAGATAAATAAAATATTTACAGTAATGACAATTAATTTTTGAATTAATTGTCTAAATATCCTATACGTATGACTAATCAAACAATGAATTGCCAAATTACAATGACTTCGACTAAAAGAAAAATGAAATGGCCAAAAGAAGCCCTTCGACACAACAACAATTTTCAAATGACAAGATCATCCGGGAGGAAAGTAATCAATCATTGCAACAATACCACAAATGAATAAATTATATAGGTATAAGCTACTACTAATCTTCATAGCAGGGTTGGATACTTGGCATCAAGGAAGTCTCTGAGAGTGCGAGCAGCTTTCTGACCACCCATCAATTCGGCTAGCCTCTCCACGGGCATAAGAGCAAGTTCTGCCAAGCTCTTACATCCATCCATTATGGCCCTGTAATTCGAATCTGTCACCCCCGGAAGTCGTCTCAAGAACTCCACAGCAGACGTATTGTAATTTTCAGCCCTGAACATTTAGTACACTATGCCATCAGATTTACATCGGATGAACCCAACTCCATGGTCAGGTCAGTGACAGAGGTCCATAAGAGAGCGAGGAGGGTTTTGCATGCAGAAGCACATATAAGTATTTCAGTGGAACTGACTGATGTGGTTCCACTAGTGACTAAATTCCACTATAAATATGCAGCATTGATTATTTATTTAAGAAAAAGTGCACAAGGAGGCCTTGTGTAGACTGCATGCTCTACTAAAAAGAGTGTAGTCTCCCTATGCCCTCCAGAAGAATGAAAGATCAGAATACAAGCTTAAGAAGCTAAGACTGCAACATGTAGCATTCCAGTTGAAAATCATGCATCTTACCTCACATCATCTTCCACAATTCCATCTTCGGAGGGTACACCAACTCTCATTGCTTTGGTTTCATCAGGTTCATCCTGATTTGCCTTAAGAGTAGCAAATATTTCAGCAGTAGCATGCAGACTACGAGACCAGATGATTCGCAGCCGGGGGAAGTGTAGAGCAAGCAACGACAGCTTAGATATAATACTATTTGGTGTGACATCATCACCAATATCACTTGCAGACTGCAACCAACATCCAACAAAATATACCAGCTTAGCATTAGGCCTACCAATTGATCCATCTCTACTGATATGATTCATATTACCTGAAATGAAAAGCTTTTATCCTGTGAAAATTCAATCAGGAGAACAGGTATTCTATAATAGCGAACCATTGTTTCCACTTGGTGATAAAGACGACCAGATGTGAAACTCATAAAAAGATCTTGGATACTCTTTCTCTCTACACATATTAGTGGAGAAAGGATATAATCCCCAACTTCCAACGTCACGGGTATTATGTGCATGCCTTTCTGGTGGAGAACATTTGGAAGGCTGCTCATGAACTCCCTCACGTCCACTATGACCTGAAAGGTTGAGAATTCTTGAACAAACTGGTTCTGCTGGTAAAGGAGATATAAAACATAATATAGGGTAAATAAATGCACCTGCATTTCCTTCTCAACCTCTTTTCTTCCCCCTGCCTTTCTGGTTAGAGAGTTTTGGGATGACATAGTTTGAGGTTCTAGGGAAGAATTCAATCCCAGGCAGTTCCCATCCTAATGCAAAATCCAGGCAAAACCCACTCAAATAAAGGAACATAAGCACTACTACACCATGAAGGGTCTAAATACGCAAATAATTAAAAACACGACAAAACCAACATATCGAATGTAATATTCAAGATATATAGAGCGATCCAAGAAATATGTACTGAATAATGGTTCCACCAGCAGGCCTTGTTCACTGGGAAATTAGTCTTTAAGCAACACATACTTAACCCAGTGCCAGTAGTATATGTTTCAAATGATTTTACAATAAAAGACATAAATAGAGCTACGCACAGTGAACAGAATAAACTATTCTTCCACCTGTACACTCAAGAGTAGTTTGGAGAAATAGCAATGCAGCAATAGTTCATATAGTCCATGTAGAAGGCTAAAAGTCCAGAACTAAGAAGTAACAAGGCAATCCTAAACAGTTTTTTAGAAGCTATATTTGGTTTATTGAAGCAAATTCACATTATCCACTCGCAAATTTGATATAAAACTACAGTAACGATACCAGAAACGGACTGTAAACCATTGATCGCAAACAGTCCCAGAGAAGATTCTAAATTGGAAAATAACCAAACCTGATCAACTGGTATCATCATCAGTGACTTCTGCCTGATCAAAGATTCAAATGCTGCATTCTCCCTTCTTATGCTTGCCTCAAACTTTTGCACCTCAGAAGATTCTTCATAGAAAAGAAAATAAACTTTCAGCTTCTTTGAGGGGTTCTCGGCTTTATGGACTTCAATTTCCCTGACAAAACTCATATCTGGATGGTACACAATAATTATAGAGGGTCTCAGAATGTCAAGTATTGGTTGACCACTTTCTAGAGCATAAAAGTGCACCGGAGGTAGTGGCTTAGCATTTCGGGATACAGTAGAATCAGCTTCTCCAGTATGCTTCCTCAATACCCCTGGATCTATAGTGTCACCCTGGCATGTTGCTTCACTAGAATCAGCTGTCACCACCTGATTGAGTTGATCTGCTTGCCCTTCGTTTTCTGAATCAGATATAACAAGCTTATCCAATATTGCTTCTTTTTTATCATTATTATCATCATTATTCCCCAAACCCTTAACATTGGCTGGGCCTTTTTTATTCCTTACTTTTCCCCTACCCTTTCCACGCCCTTTGCCACGAAAAGGAGGATCATCTCCAACAGCCTCATCTTTTTTAGCTTGCTTTCTAATTTCTGACACTGAAGCCAAAAGCACATCATGTTCCTGCTTGTTTCCGCTGCTAGCTTCAGCATTCTGTGGGGGTTTTATAGGAACTACCGTTCCCTTTCCACGTCCTCTCCCACTAACAGGAAGCTGAGGATCATCTCCAACAGCATCATCTTTTTTAGCCCGCTTTCTAATTTCAGCAGCTGCAGCCAAAAGTGCATCATTTTCCTGCTTGTTTATGCTACTAGCTTCTGCATTCTGTGGGGTTGGTGCATGAACAACTCCATCTAGAATCCCAAAACCTTTGGGCTTCTTTGGTTTCTTTTTAAACCGTGTATGCAAGGCACGCAGCTCTCCTTTGCCCAGCAAGTAGTTTTCCCATTCATCCCGCATGACCTACACAAGAATACAACCCATTAATTGGTTGATCAGCTTTTATACAAGTTTATGCACCAATGATTCTTGAAAGCCAATTGATTTAAAAAATTTATAGAAAAAAAAAATTAATGCCAGCCACTCTTAGATTGCTTAAAGAGTTCGAACATGTATGAAACTATATGATTATTTATCTCATTGAACAAACAATGCCTACAAACCCATTCACAAATGCAATTTCCTTAAGAAGAAAAAAAACCCTTAATATACAAATTAGAATTTCATACTTGACTGAACAATCAAATCAAGACCAAGGTTGCATACCCTTTCCAGTTTTCATTCGTTTGACAGTTAATATACAATGCAAGCCAAAGGAAACAAACTTAGAAAAAGAAATTAAGAAAACCTTATGTGGGCCATTGGTAATGAAACCTTCAAGCTGCATGCATGAGCGTTCATCTTTGCATGCCACTAGAACAATGCCACTATCATCATCATCTTCTTCAACCAGATGTTCTCCTCTTGGAAAAGCCTGTTGTCTTTCCTCTTCTATCTCTTCAAGAACCTCCTGCAATTAAATTAACACATTGAAATGTCGACAAATTTATTGCTTGAGTTATCAACTTCATTATCATCCCTATAGTCATTCAAACTGAAACACTAGAAGCAAATGATACAACTGACAGAAGAAAAGCCTAGAATTGGATCACAACTAATATTTACTTCGTTATACGGTTTAATGGTATATTGATCCAACAGGCTGTGCATTCATAAAAGATGAATAACATTTTGACCACATAAAAATGGGAACCCACTCACTCACACGTAAGACCTTCCACTTTGGTGCCTCCTCTAAAACTTCATCTAAAACTACCCCACTACTTGTACTGGTCGATGAAGTGCCACCAACTGCTACATATACAAATACAAAAAGGTTCAAAAATACAAAATAATAAAAGAAGTACCACAGAGACAATTATTATTCCTCACCTTGCTCCTTATCATCATCCCCCTTCAGTTTTCTTTTCTTGCCTTTCGAACTCTTACCCTTATCACTCAACATCACACCATCTGACGTCACAAATCGATACACCCTTTTCTTCGCATACTCAAATATCTTATAGCTCGACTCTGCAAATACCCAGACAGATCGAAAACTCTCCGACACTCGCAGTGTATCCAAGTACTTCAAATAAGTTACTGCATCATACCTACCAAAATAACGACATTTCAAAATCAATCACCATTACTAACCCAACAGTTATTTCTCAAAAAAACCAAAACCAAAACAAAATCCTTAATTCACAAACAAGTGCAACAAATTCCAAAAACTAATTGAATCATATCTATCTCTTACCAATCTAAAACGCAAACCAAATGCAAAACAAACCCAGAAAGAGTAAAAGCCAATATTTTCAAGTACCTAACAAGGTAATCCAAGAGCTTCCTGAGGGTCTTCAAGTCAGACACAAGCTGCTTAGTCTTCTTCCCCAAGGTATGCCAAATGGGATCCAATTGCCTCCTCACAATCTCATCAAACGACTTAAACAACCCATTCTCCACAGTCAAGTCTTCCACATCAACCTTATTGGTCTTCCTCATCTCCTTCAAACAAGCATCCATGACCTCAATGATCGCCTTCTGTATGCCCACCATGTGTTTGGTCATTGGCACCCTTATATCCACAACTTCCGGAGCGTCCCTCTCCAACTCCTGCGACACATCAACATGAAACCTCGGCCAAAGGTGCATCTTCCTGATGTACAAGCACTTCATAATCCTCTCAGCCTTGGCAAACCCAGAAACCATGGAGTGGGGTTTGTCAGAAAAAGCGCGAACAAAGGCGGTTTTGTTGAGAGAGCGGAAGATCCTGACAATAAAAGCCTCAGTGGAGGTTTCAGTGAGGGAATGGACGGTGGGAATGATGAGGCCGGCGATTTGGGAGGTGGGTAGTTTTTTGGTGAGGAGGTCAACGATGAGGATGCGAGGGGTGATGAAGAAGACATTGGAGGAGGTGTAGAGAGAGTGGCGATGGTGGGACGGGAGGTCTGCTGAGATTTCGGGAATTGGGTTTGGGTGGAAATGGTGGAGGAGTTGAGATTTGAAGGAAGGTTGGTGCGGAGAGAGGATGAGGAGGGTGCCCTGAGAAGGTGTGTGGAGGAGGAGGAGGGTGGAGATGAGTTTGGGGAGGCAGAGGCCTGAGGAGACTATGACCAAACCGCTGCCGTTTTGTGGGTCGTCGAGGAGTTCTGTGATTATGTGCTCGTGGAATTGGACCATTTGGAGGAGGAGGAGGAGGAGGAGAGTTGAAGAGTTGCAGAATGGAGAGAGACCAAGTTTTTCAGAGGGTTTTTGGGGGTTGGGGTTGGCGTTGCTGTATTAGGCTGCTGCAACTGTTTGGAGTTCCCGGTTGTTTTTTAATTTTTATTTATTTTTATTTTTTAATGCAAGTGATATTAAGAAGTGAAGTGGGGAATTTACATATACAATCTCGGATGCAATGATATTTGCTCTTAACTACATACAATTTCGGATGCAGTGATAGCTGCTCTTAATCACTTTTAAAGTTTACGGTGATTAATGTTATTAAAAATCTACAAACTAAATAAATGTAGCGAAGTGTTATTAATCTATCTAAATTGCAACCCAAGTTGAGTTGAAAATTTAAAATTTTTTGTATATATACATCACATATAAAAAGTTTAGGTCAAACCTAGTTCTATCTAAATTGGGTTGTAATTTAGATAGACACGAGATTTGCCATCTCCATTGTAGTCGTGCAAAGAACTAGAATAGCGAAGGAAATACCAATTAAGAGAATTCGATTTGAGCTAGTGTCTAACGTATCAAATTTGGGTTTGTTTTAAAAGATCAATCTTCTTTTCCTCAAACCTCTTTCACTCATGCCGTCAGTTTTTTTGATTGAATTCTTGACCATGTCATCAATTACTTAGGTTGAAGTTCTTCGTTTCTTTTGATTTTCCTAAGGGTTGGTGGAAGTGTATTCAATTGAGATTTTAAAATATTATTTTTGGATAAATTAGTCTTGTAGTATTCAATTAAGACTTTTAAATAATCTAAACAAGTCTTGTGGTATTTCATTAAGACTATTAAGATTTTTTAAGGAGAGTGTCAAAATCTTATGGTATTCAATCAAGACTTTAAATAAGTAACAAAAAGTCTTATGGTATTCAGAAACTTGTTAATTTCGAAAGATTTTTTCAAATGCGAAATTGTACGAGACTTTTGAGTGAGATGTATCCCTATCTCAAATCTCACCCTAACCCATGAGACTTCTTTTTTCACGTGAGATTGTTTTTGTGCTCATCCACTTCGACTTCTCTCAAAGCCAACTTCAACACCCAAAGCTTCACCACCACAAACCATCTCTGCAACTCTACCTGCAAACCCACTTCACCTTCTCTGCATATAGCCATGATTCATGTTGTTTACTCATAGGAGGTTTGGGAGAATTTCAAGGGAAGTAACTTTTCGTCTTTTCTTTCCTTTTCCCCTTTTTTTCTGGGGAATAGTATACAGTTCAGCCAAAGCATATTGTTACTCTATTTCTTTTTTTTTTTTTTTTTTTTTTTTTTTTTTTTTTTTTTTTTTTTTGTGATTGGAGATTGAAACTATTCATTAGATGAACAAGACTAGAAATTCACACACAAGATGACACAACGAGAATACTTTTTTTTTTGTTCTTGCTGCCTCGGTCAACATGGATAGAAGAGAAAAAGAAGGTGGTAGGGGATAGAAAAGAAAATACTACCGCCAAAAAAAACGTAGGGCAGAAACTCCACTTGAGTAGAACCACATGATATCTCATAATAGTAACAGTTCATAAGGTAACACAAGCAAGTTCCTTTTATACTGTTTGACTAGAGTTACCAGCTATGCAGCAGGCCAGCTTTAAGAGGGTAAAACCAACAACCTCCCCTATTTTGGATTCACTATATTTGTCGGCCTAGGTATTTAAAAAAGTTTCAAATTTTAGTTTGGGTTATGGCCCTATTTAGTCAAACCCATATATATAAATCCTATGATATAAATCCATGTGATCCTTTCAAATCTTATAAAATCTTATGATATAATCTTTAAAATCCAAAAGTTAAAAATCTTGATTATACAAAATTATCAATAAAATCTTATAGGTCATTACATTTTAAATAGTCTTTTAAAATCTCAATTGAATACAACCCATAATTCTCTTTTAAGCTACGATTTTTTTTATAAACAAAATAACCATCAAATTTTGTTTAAATGAAGTGAAACATTCAGATTTGAATTTTGAGAAAATTAGAGAATACGAGGTAAAGATAAACAAACAAGAGAGAGGATCCTCTTCCTTCCCGCCTGCTCCCCAAAAAGAATAGTTGCTCAACAACATAAACAGAAACCGGCTACTCACCATTTGCCATAATCAAATTATATAAACTTGGACAAATATTCCCTTGCTTGGTATTTGATCTGATATGTGAATGAAGTTAGTTACACTAAATCACAAACTTTCTCTATGGCCCCATTGATGTGTTCTTGCTCCATGAGAGCAATGCAAATTTAACTCAGATTAAGGACAGAAAACCGCATGAAGGGACCAATTTCGTCATATACATACCAGTATTGTATAGATTCTGTTAATTTGATTTCATGTTTGCAGTGAGATCTCCATGACTTGTCTTCATCCTTCGCAAGAACAAGGGAACAGGCTTTTCCAAGACAGATACATTGATACTGTTCCAAACGTCAGCTGTGGTGGGAAGTTGAGCAATTTTCTCAGCGATGTTCATGTCTTCTGGAAGAACAGAAGCAAAGACGGTGTATTCTTTTTTCCACTCTTCGTGGTTTGCAAGGCTTATAAAAAATTCCGGGCCAGAACCAATCCACGCAACCGAACCCCTTCTTATGGTTGGGCATACCTCAGTTGGAATCTTCTTAAATATCACTCCTTGGGCATCAAGCGTTCCTTGAACCAGTGCAAAAGGAGGACCAAAAGGAGCCTGGCAAATACACAGAAGAACGTTATATATTGAACACTTAGACCAAACACTGTATTACCACAGTCAATACAAACACCAAATATAGGTAGCACATCTCCCATGAGAGAGCATAGGTGATATGAAACTGCATAACGAAACTTTAGACATGCAAAATCAACTTCAGAAAAGGAAAAGGAATTTAATCAAGCCTTACATTTTTTATGTGGTTTCCTTCTGAATCCCATGATGACCCTCGTCTCTCTGCACGATAAAACTGGCAGCCTGCACAATGGCGCAATGCCAACAACTCAATAATGTAGGCTACAGAATGAGGGGCACAGTCAGGCAACAGCTGCATAAATCAAAGAAATTGTTAGCGTGTGGCATAAATCAAAGAAACATATAAACCTGCATAAATGACGAGAAAAAATCTGAAGTTTTCTTCAGATTGGAAAAAATTAACACTGTGCATACTGCATATTTTTACAATATACCGAAAAACAAAAACTCATGTCTTTTTTTATGAGAGATATGCGTCTTATCAAATTATAACAGTAAGGCAAATCAAAGCAAAGAACTTCCAGTGAAGACTAATAATTAGATACATTATTCTTTGCATGGTACACACATACTTTCTTTAACAGGCCTCCACAAATTATCAAGATAACATGTTTTAACATATATAAACACAAGAGATTACAAGCTCATATAATTTAATTTGCACACTTAGAATACATCTAACATGCACACCAAATTTAAAGACATAAAGTTTTCTTGTTTTGTTTCTTTTTTAAGCGAAACAAAAGATTTATAAACAGGGGAGGAAGCGCAACAAGACCAGGGGTACCTTCAAAAAGTCCCACCATCTCTTTTTCTGTTCTATCCCACGATAGACAGACTTTTTGTTCCCTCTCTCTTTTGTCCTTCCAACCCACCACAGATAGAAATTAATAATAATCCGTAGAGCTAAAACATCTGAGTTTTATCTCCACTCTCAACCGGGCTAAGAGACTAGTTGACTAAAGTTTGTGAATCTTTTGGTCTGATTAATTTCTCTGCAGATTGGAATGAAGATAAATCCTCCAGTAAGTTTCAGTAAATCATTGAAATCAATGAACTAGAGGCTTATTTTGATGATTTTGTTAGAGGCCCCATAAATATGAAGTCCTGGCTCCATCACTGCTTCTAAAGTTTATTCTCAAAAGGATTTTTTGTCTTGTTAAGGGAAATTTGAATAACATTAGAGGCCCCATAAGTATGAAAACCTGACCCCGCCACTGCTCTTGAATAATGTTCTCTCATGATGCTATCAAATCATTATGAGAAAAAGAAGGTGAGCCAAAACTCAGAATCAAGTTCCACGGGGATACTAGACTTTGAGCAATGCCTGTCTAGAAGGACCCCTCTTTGAATTATTGAACCAAGTCAGAAAAATAACATGAACATAAATTTATGGACACAAAGTTAACTCTAGAGGTTGTACTCGGACTGATTAGTGCATTGTAAACCACCCTCTAGAGTCCGCCCCTAAGAATTCATGTTCCTTTTGCAAATAGTTTCTAAACGCAGTTTTATGATGCACATAATAAGTTATAGAATAAAAAATAAATATGAAAAAGGGAGTTGAAAATTCTAATGGCATTAACCCTTACTTTTATATGAAGAGTTCCATACTTCGTTTCCAAGCCAACAATGCCCTACAAAGAGAAAATATAGGTACATCAACAGTATAATAAATTGATAATACAACCAATTTCTGAGAACCAACAACAAGGAAACATAATCAATAAAAAAGAGTCAAAGACTACAAGAATGACAGAACCCTTGCAATTGTAACGTGGAAAGCTACTAAGAAAATGCCCTATCATGTTTTCTTCCTAATCTTAAAAAAAAAACACGTGCTATTATTGTGAAGGTACATGTACTGCAATTGTGTGAAAAGCAACAACGACCTGATTTCATCCTGTAACAGGTCATGAACTGGCTCAGGAGGTACAGAGACTTACAGTCCCACACAGAACAATGATGTAAAACACAGTGGCTCACCCTAGTTTATTTCTTACAGAGATTCACCACATTCAATTGAATTTTCATTTTCTCTTTACCTAATGGATGTTATAGCTATGACATAGATGTTGTTATCTGTGTTAGTCGAAAGATATTCATAATTAAAAGCAGAGGTTTATAGCTTTTACCATCTTAAGAACTCCACCTTAAAAGAAATACATATACGCATTTAAAGGTCATATTCTTTGGATAAAAAGGCTTATTCAGATTTTTTTATTTTTTTATTTTTTAAGAAAGGAAAGAAGATTTGTTGTCTTTGCATACAGGATTTTTTTATCCTATTTTCATATATCAATTTGCACACGGAATACATCTTGCAAAGTTTTAGACTTATATGCCTATCAAATTGCACATGGAATACTGGAACTAACCAGAAACAAAAAGAACAAGTTGATAGACATATAAGTCCGATTTGCCAGATGCATTCCATGTGCAGGTTGATAGGCATATATGACAATGATCAAATTCCTGTATGCAAAGACAACAAGTCTTCTTTCTGTTGTTTTGTTTTTTCTTATCTGAACAAGTCTTCAATCACTACAAATAATGAGAAAATTTCCAAGAAACAGAACTTTGATTCCTTATATTCGAACAGTTCTACTGATTAATAGTTCTTCTAGCAACAACTTCCGCTGAGAAATGGAAACTTAAGATGGCTACAAGTTTCAGTATAAGAAGAGCAAGAATAATAAAAATAAAGTGCTCATCAAACTTTCATACCTCTCCTCTCCCGAAGATGAGTCCAGAAGTCCAACTAACTGTTTCCCCTACTTCCTGCCGCTCAGGAGCCAATGTATCTTTCTGTTTCTTCAGCCAGCACTGAAGTGACAAAGTTTCAACACAAAGAATTCAAAACTTAAGCACTTGAGATTTAGAATAATATTCAAAAAAGAAAATCCAAACTATGCGCAATCACAATTCATTGGATGGTAAAATGCAGACTTTGATAATATGCTCACAGAATGGCAAGTCCTATGTTATTCTACAGACTTTCAAAATATGCTCAAGACTAACTGAACTTATATGATGCCATCCAAATCAAAGCAAACATAAGAAACTATACAATTTTTAATCAATTTTGACAACAAAAAACCCAGGCTCCAGATTCAACTTACCTCACCAAATTTTGAGCCACATGCCTCCTTGTTCCCACAGAAAACCCAGCTATCACATAAACAAGGCCCATCAGTCCCAGTACACATGGCTTTACATGCCTTGCAACACTGCTCAGAAGAATTGAACTTAAACTCTGAACCCCACTTCACAGCAGCCCCCCAGAGCTCCAAATTCTCAGTCCCTCTGCAACATCCTCCACTCTCTCCCTCCACACCAACACCTCCACCCTCCTCCACCAATTCCAGGGACTCAAGCTCGGAAAATGAAGAGGCTTCATTGGGTTTAAGCACTACACAGAGGGCAGCGTAGACCAGAGCACAGGAAGCCAAACCCACCAAGAGGAGGACGAGAGGAGAGCAATGGGTGGCTTCTGGGTCGTTTTGCCTCCGACCCATTTGAGGATTGGGGGAGAAGAGTGAGACCCGGAGGGGGATTTGGAGTCTCTGGTCTGGATTATGGGCAAAGATTTGTGCTCGGAGATTTTAGCGTTGACTTTTGACAAAAATTGATCATTGAGAAAAAAGAGGGGCAACACCGGTATAGGGAACTGGTTCGACTGATTCAATGTTGTCTGTGTCATTTTATATTGTTTTCTTTTTCAAGGATGCTTTGCTTCTTTGTTTTTTTGGTCGATATCTTTGTGCCTTCTATTTTTGTTTAGGTGATTTTTAACTTTAATCAAGGCATTTAGGTGGTAATTAATCAATGAAATTAGGTGTTACTTAATCAATGCCTTTAGCCCTAGCTTTTTTTTGTTTTTTTTTTCCCTCTTTATAAACTACTAGCCCCTTGGCACATGCATGAGACAATTGGTTTTCTTTTTTATTTTATATTTTATTTTTAGAATTAAGAAAAAAAAATAATTTGGGTAATTATGTTCCATAAAAGTAGGACCTATTATCTTTTTTTTTTTAAATATAAAAAATGTGAATTTTCCATATTATCCTCATTTAATTAATAATTTTAATTCTTAATATTTGAATTAATCAAGGGCATTTTTTGGTATTTTGAATGTTTCATCATTCTCTACCTTTTACTTTATATATATAGATAATTGTGCATTAGGGGTGGGCACATCAAAAAGTCAAATGGTCTATAAAATCAAACTACACAATACTACTTCAATTTAACTGCAATTTTTGTGCTCATTTATTTGTCTCAAACTGAATCAAACGTATCGTCTTTACAAATTTTGGATTGGAATAACAAAATTCACATGGTTTTAAACTTTATTTGTACTTATATGGAAATGCCTAGATACTAATAACTAATTTCATTAAATGATTACTTTCTTACTTTCATAGAATGATGAATTTTAAAATGTTAGAGCATCCACAATAGACTCCCTAAACCACCTCCTTATATAAAATTTAGGGAGGAATTAAGAAAACCCACCTCCAACCATACTCCTTATCCAGCTCCTAAAATGGAGAGACCTCTAGGAGCTCCTAAATTTGAAGAGAGAGAATGAACTCTTAATGGCTCCCTATAATTTAATGCTACCCTATTTAATGAATATTTTTAAACCTTTAATTAATATTGTCAATTTTTATATTATTTTTTCATATAGATGGACCATTTATGTTGAATTAAAATATAATTCTAGCATTTATGACTCCCTAAACTAGAGAATATGATTGAAGTTGAAATTTTATAGAGAGCTCCTAAAATAACTTTTGTGTGTTATTAACTAAATTTTAACTAAAAAATAGAGAGCATGATTGTAGATGCTCTTAGAGATATAGAAATTTTAAATATATATATAGGTTTATTTTGAAAAATGAAAAGGATGCAGTAGCAAAAGCAAAAAAAAGAAAGAGAAAAACTTTAACGTATAATTGTTAAAAAATCCAACCCTTTTTCTGTCTTCATAGTTTCATTAACTTACGGCACTGTGTTTCTGTTGAAGGATCTAAGGTTGCTTGGTCACCGTATGTTACATAGGCTATCGAATTGTTGGTTTGGTAGTTGTTCTTCCACAAATTTTCAATATGCGAACAGAAAAATATCAAAAAGAAAAAGAAGAAGAAAAGGATAGACTCGATTTGGGTAGGCCGAGGGAATTTTTGTGTAGAGAGTAGGTGTTTCATGGTAGAGAGAGAAGGAGGAAGGGGAAGAGGGAAGGGGGAAGTGATTTCAAGGTGGGCGGGGTTGGTTGGAGCCGCCGGTGGCCCAAAAGGGATGGGAGAAGGTGAGAAATTTTTATTTTTTTCAATTTTAATTGTTTAAAAGATATACATTTTTTTTTAAATAATGATTTTTCTATTTTTGAAATACCCTTAAAATGGATGGAAAATTGGATAGTGCTAAAGTCAAATGACAAATCACGAATTAAAAAAAAATTAAGGGTCATTTCTCTTTTTTTTTTTTTTTTTTTTTTTTTTTTTTTTTTTTTTTTTATTATAAGGTGACACAAATGAAAGTATAAGTTCAAGTAACATTTCTACAAAAATCCCTTATCTAGAATAACATGCATTATAATTTCATGATGCCGTGATGTGTTTGTATTCACATTTTATTTTATTTTATTGTGTGCAGGAAAAAAATATTAGTGGGGTAAAATCTCAGTATCAATATTGCCCACGCTATTCTAGAGTAATCCATAAATTAATATAAAGTATTTAGTAGACAGGTCTAGAAAACAACCCGGCCTACCCCAAGTCCAGTCTGCTACTTTTGGACCATGAGAGCAGACCCACGTTACAACAAAATCATAATTTAGGCGGACGTTGTGAGCCAAATTTTCAGGGGACCAAATGGAACATATCTCCAAGTTTTGATACAAGCGATATTGAAGATACCATAAGCTCAAATTTCCCATCTTCAGTTAATAATTAATGTAATCAGTTTAATTTGCTTAATTCGACTTGGATATGCTAAGATAAGTATCGGACTTTGGACCTCATGTGCAGCCCCATTTTGCACACGTGTGAAGACGGAAAAATATTTATGTACATTTTTACTATTCGCGTGTAAATTAACAAAGTCAAGACCTTCACATAGATAGCTAGCTAGATTTTTCTTTTTTCTTTTTTCTTTTTTTTTGGAATTTTAGCAGAGCTAGATTTCAATTAATAAAAATAATATTCATTTTTTGTTGGTGTCAAAATGTATTTTGTAGGGCGGCGGGCCCTCCGCGGATATTAATTATAAATCAATCACATTCCGTAGTCTTGATTTGCTTGCACAATATAAGTAAGGCTTGATTTGGTTTTAAGACTTCGGAGTTTTTCTTTTGTTGAAGTATAAAAGTTTAGACTACTTTTAATCTAGATAAGCGATCACACTTTTGGTTTAGTGACATTCAGTTTTTATTTTGTTCGAGGATGTTATGAGTTCAAATCTCGGTAAGCTCTTCAACCATTACGTTCATTCTAGATTAATTTTCAATCCCTTTTGACCAATCATTTTTTCACTACTTCAGAACATCAAAGATTCAGATATTATATAATCAGCAACGGTTGGAATTATAACCATTAATTCACACTCACTATTCATGAATTCATCATGATGTTATTAGAATTACAAACAGACATTTATTTATTTATTTAACTTTATTATTACAACCTAAATTAAGATAGAAGGTTGTCAAACTAACCACACGTGTGGGACGTAATTGGAAACCACATCTATAATATTATTTAGACTTGTGGCCTGAGAAATGCAGCAACTGAGTGAAGCCCAACTTTCATGGAGTAGTGATGCCTGCAATGAAAATATCAACACCAAAAGAATTTCAGGATAACACAAATTTACTCGCATATTAGTCCAAAATAGCATGCACAAAACTGCCCTGCAACCAGCTTCAATACCATATTCTCCAATTAGCTATTGTAGAAAAGACTGACAATGTATATCAAGCTAACAAGATTAACGTAGTTTGATAAAGCAAACAAGTTTCGTTTCGATTTTATATATATGTATATATTGAGAGAGAGAGAGAGAGAGAGAGAGAGAAGGAAAGATGGGTGTTTCTTACTCCCACACTTGAAGTGGCGAGGCACCTTCCTACCACACCCTTCAGTGAGCCTTATGGCGCGGTTGACGCTTGCCAAACACCACCATCATGCATGCCTTCATCGCGAGCGTCCTCTCCTCGTGGCACTGGGCAGCACTTGGTGCAGCACCAACCATTTTCACTTCACGCATGGCTAGAACAACCAGAACTAGGAAGACCCCGAAAGCCATTGATGACCCTCTCTCTCTTTAACTACGTACCTTGACACAAATAGCTAGGTAGGTAGGTATTTGATAAAGAAATTGAATTTGGGTAGTCTATAATTTTGTTCAATGTTCCAATATGTGCTTTTTAGTTTTCTCACTGCTAGAAAATAAAAGACTGCCAACTGATCAATCATCAAATATTCATTGTTTGACGTCACTAGTTTGAGCTCTACTCATTGCTGGATTCGTAAGGTGATAGCTAGTTTTTTTTATATATATAAAAAAAAATATTTAACCACGCATTGGTGCTCTTTAGAATGCTATAAATTAAATTTCCAAAAATGGTGATTATTTAACTTTAATCTCCAATCAATCAATTAGTTAAGCAAATTGGAGATAATTAAATCAGACTGAATAATAGAACCTGTCAAACGAATTAAAAACTTAAAAGGGTATGGAATTGTCCATGTCTCTTCATGCACAGAGGAAATGTTTTTAATTTATTTATACGAGAGACAGTTTAAACTACTCTATTATAATTTATATTAATCTAATTTATGGAGAGGAAAACTCAAACTCAAATGCAAAGGGACGGAATCTTGACCAATTGACTTAAACCACATTTGTCAAAGAGGACATGTTAAGTGTCGACAATGGACACTTAGCCGACCTGGGACATATTGCTTTCTCTTTGATGTTACTTTGCTTGGCTCGCTCTAAACTTACAACCACCGATGGAAGAAACCAAGAGAACCAAATTGTGAAAAAGCTTATCATTATATGCTCTTTTTTTTGTTTGTTTCCTCAACTGCAGTTTTAGACAAAACTAACTTCATTTCCTCTGCACTGACCATGATTTGTAATTTTACACCGACCTAGCTGCTAGAAGAAACCAAGAGAATCAAATTGTGGCAACTGAATCAATTTGGACTATATAATAAGACTCTATTGTGGACTTAGCTAGTCAAGTGTCTTGCACGTAGTTTCTACAGAGTGGAGACGATGGGGTCAGTCCATGGATTTTTCTTCCTTTTGTCGCATTTCGGTCAAAATATGCCAGCCACTCTTCAAATTAATCAAATCATATTGATTCTATTTTTCTGGACTGATAAAGAAATCAAGCCACTTGGTGCTTCTTAAATAAATCAAGACATTGTTTTCAAAACAAATAAATTAATCAATCAACACGTTCAACATCAAATTTGACATACAACCCAAAAAGCAGATCCAGATCCGTTATTGATTTGAGCTTATGTAAAAACCTAAGTTGTTTTAAACTTTCATATAATTTAATTTTTTCAATACGATCTAAATCCTAAACTCTCAACTCAAAATGTTGCCTTAGCAACAAAAAAGAAAAGAAAAAAAGAGGCAAACATGAAATGCTTAACCTACGACCAAAAAAACACAAATAACATGTTTGTCTTCTGAAAACCTCAAATCAGAATGGGTCTTGTTATGTACACCAACAACAAACCATTCACCGGGAATTTGTGTCACCTTCCGGATAAATTTCCTGCTTGCCATGACACAGTCGTTGTAAATCACCCACTCTGGCTTGTGATTCAAGCAACTTGAGGGATGCAAGTGTGCCTGTCCCTTATCGTTCACCGGTGTCAAGTAGTGTCCTTTGGTACAACTACTAGCTGTGTGTTTTAGGTGAGCCACTGTTTGAGAAAATTTCAGCACAGGAAATATTCACCTGTAGATTTTATGACCCTCGAACGTCCTTCTCTTTCTTCTCCTTTGGTTCTTGTAAAACAAATCTAGGTCAATGGACCACACTCAGGGTGTGTTGGCTAAAGACCCTCCAATGCCTAAGTTAGTTCGATTGGATCTTGAGAAAGATACGACTATAGCTAAAGTGGATAGAATTATCTCTCACAGGGAGTGACGGGTGGTTGGATTGTGAAAGAGAGTGAAGGGAGATGGAGACGGCAAGGGAGAGAGAGGGATGAGTTTTCGTAGGGTTTTGGAATTCAAATTGAGTTTAGCATTATATCATATGTGTGATGTAGCCATGTATTTATAGTTGTTGACGTGAGTCTCCTAATTAATCAATGAGATTTACTTCCTTGATTAATTAAGGGATTTACTTTTCTATTTTTATGTAAGTGATAAATCATTGTACAATTAGGAGATACTTTCCTAATTCCTTACTGTATCTAATTCCTTGTAAAACCCTCATATGTAAACTCCTATATATACCTCCTTATAGAGAAGAATAAAATACAACCTAATACATTCAAACCATATTCATATTTTAGCATTGTATCAGAGCCTAGTTCTTGTGACTTGTGCTTGCATTCTTCTTGAAATTTAAATGCTCTCCTCCCCTCCTCTTCAAGAGGGGGAGGGGGAGTGAAAATGATATGTTTATTGACGTATCCCCATTACCTTGACATATTCCCATGAAGATACTGCATATCTCTTTACTCTGACGACCCTTTCTCTTCAGGGGGAGAGGGGGAGTGAAGAGAAGTTGTTTTGTCTCTAAACCCTTATCTCAAATTTCTCAAATTCAAATCCAAAACCCTAAATCAATTCCTCATATTTTTCCCCAAATCCAAATCCCTCAAATTTAAAGTCCTCAAATCCTCTTATCCAAATCCCTAAACACATACCCTCAAATCTTATACACATACCTCTTAAATCCAATTCCTACAAGTCCTCAAATCCTCTTATCCAAATCCCTAAACACATACCCTCAAATCTTATACACGTATCTCGTAAATCCAATTCCCACATTAAATTCATACATCAAATTTCTCACATCACCTTCCTCACCTTCTCACATCACATCTTACTTCCGCTACGATGTTAGGAACCCATACGATTCCCCATCTTATTGCAGACTCACAGAAGCATGCGGTCAATCTTGCTGACTTGGCTACCCAGACTCTTGCTTCTATCACCACCACCAAAGGTTCTACTTTCCATACGTCCTCTAAAACCATATATTGCATATGCTGTGAGTGTGGTTAGTCAGTTTATGCATTCGCCCAGTGTTATTCATCGGAATGTAGTTGATCGGATCTTAAGATACTTAAAGTCAACCCATGGGAAAGGATTAATGTTCTAAAAAAATGGAGATCTTGAAGTTGTTGGATACACAGATGCTGATTGGGTTGGTTCCATTACAGATAGACGCTCTACTTCAGGTTACTTTACTTTCGTGGGAGGTAACCTAGTCACTTGGCGGAGTAAAAAGCAAAATGTGGTTTCTCGGTCTAGTGCAGAAGCAGAGTATTGAGGAATGACTCACGGAGTTTGTGAATTATTGTGGATCAGAAGACTCTTGACAGAATTAGGCTTCAAACCAGAAAAACTAATTGAGTTGCATTGTGAAAACAAGTTAGCTATCGATATTGCCCATAATCCAGTTCAACATGATTGAACCTAACATGTTGAGGTGGATAGACATTTTATCAAAGAAAAAATTGAGAAAAAGATCATTCGCTTACCATTCGTAAAATCAGAAGATCAACTGGCAGATATCTTAACCAAAGCTATTTGTGTAAGAGTATTTCATGACTCACTTACCAAGTTGGGCATTGGTAACATATATGCACCAACTTGAGGACGAGTGTTGACATGAGTCTCCTAATTAATCAATGAGATTTACTTCCTTAATTAATTAAGGGATTTACTTTCCTATTTTTATATAAGTGATAAATCATTGTACACTTAGGAGATACTTTCCTAATTCTTTACTGTATCTAATTCCTTGTAAAACTCTCATATGTAAACTTCTATATATACCTCCTTATGGAGAAGAATAAAATGCAACCTAATACATTCAAACCATATTCATATTTTAGCAATAGTGCTCATTGTCAGCTAAGGTTTGAAGAATAATCCTTATTTAATTAGGATTGTCTCCACCAAGCATGTGGTGGGCTAGGAATGTTATGTTAGGCTGAAAAAGAAAAAGTCACCTAGGCTATAACCTAGGTCAGCCATATGCACGGTCCGTCCCTACATTTAGCATAACAACCAGCCCCCACCAAAATGTAATTTTCCATAGAAAATCACAAATACTGCTATGGTATGACACCGCTCACTTGTTCTGCTCATGTGGTTGGGTGACATGATTGAAAGGTCATGCTCAATTTCAATCGCAACAATACTTAATGAGATACTTTGAAAACCAACTAGTTCATATTCTGAACAATAGGAAATATGAATTTAAAGATAATAATAATTCTTAATAGAATTGTAATAATCAAATACAATAACAAATTTACATCAAATTAATGTAAATCAACAAAAAAAAATAGAAATACTGACAACTTTAGGGATTGAGGCTTGCAACAATTGCAATGTTCAAAAGACATATTTCACCATTGTCCTTGTGCTTGCAGTTTTATAGGCGTTCATCTCACAGGATTCAACAATCGATAATCCTAAATTGAAGCACTTTAATTTAATACTATGACGAACCAATTATATATTTTTACACTCAAGACTAGACTTAGAATTTAATAAAAAAGTACAACTAGAGCAGTGGGGAATACTCTAGTTTTTCACGGGTAAGAACTAGTTGGATAGCCATACAACATGGGTTTTATATAATTAACCCAAGTAACTTTTGGAATAATAACAGTGGATGTTCACTAAATGACGCCACTTATGCAAAGGAAAGATGCAACTGCACTTACTTCAATTTTATCGGATGCAACCTTTCATACTTAAACAAAACAATTATTTTCATTCACACATTAAAAATTAAAAATTATAATATCTAATAAATATTATAATATTAAATTTCCAACAGTCTATTCAAGCTTCACTCAAACAAAAAGTAGAGGGATTCAATCGAAAACCGTCTGTTAATCTAATAACACGACGGACTAGAACTACGATATTACATCAATTGATCATCATGATGTTCTTGAATTAAAACACAGGGTATCTGTTTATTTAACTTTATTACTACAACCTAACAGAGAGAAGGTTGTCAGACCAGTTCGTAGGAAACTATAACTTCAACTTATTTGTTGCCGGAAAAGGCAGCAATTATTGTTGAGGCAACCTGAGCGCAACTATCATGGGGTGGTGATGCCTGCAATTAAAACATGAACAGAAAAGTAACTTGAGTTTAGTACAAATTAAAACATGATAATCCACAAATAGCAAGCTATATAGTCTGTTTGTATCAAGCTTACAAGATAAACAAGATTTTAATTGAAGCGGGATTTGTGTAAATTCAAAATTTTGCCGTATTAGAGAGAGAGGTTCTTACTCCCACACTTGAAGTGGCGAGGCACCCTCCTACCACACCCTTCAATGAGGCGGACGGCGCGGTTGATGTCGTGAATGGTGGCTGCAACCTTGGGGGTGATGACAGGGCATATGCATTCAGTATGGCTGACCCTTGCGCGTTCGCAACACTGTGGCGTTGGAAGCTTACCAAACACCACCGGCATGCATGCAGTAACCGCAAGCGCCCTCTCCTCATGGCACTGGGCAGCACTTGGGGCTGCACCACCCATTTTGATCACCTCCCCCATGCCAAGAACAATCACAACAACTAATAAGAGCCCGAAAGCCGGTGACGACGACGATGGCCTTCCTCCCTTCATGGTCTCTTCTCTCTTCAGTTTTCTACTAGCAGAGGGTTTTGGGGCACAGATAGACAGCAAGCTAGCTTGTGCACTTATATAAGGAAGTGGTTTTTTGTGTGTGGAGGGGGTGGCGGGGGGCTGTTGTTTATGTTGAATTTTTCAAAGCACTTTTTGGTTTTCCTGGCTCATTGGTGGATGGTAACATGGAAATGTCCTTCGGATTTCAAATAATAATATGATTGTAAACACTTGGATGTTGACAAACTTAACATGCTCCATTAGATTTAGGTGGAAATTGAGAATATTTACGTGACAATTTTATTTTTGACATACTGGACAAAAATAACTCATTAAAGCACAAAAAAATAATTTCTACGCCCTCATTGCAATGAAGGAGCCAAGTATTTTCCATTTTTATACTTGTAATTAGGCAAAGTCTCCACACTTACCACATTATAATTATTTTATAATCGAATGAAATGATGAGATCGCGTAATTTCCAAGCAATCAATTAGCTGAAGGCCTGGAGCTAATTGGAGAGAAGTGTATTAAGACTGAATAGAACATGTCAAATGTGTGAAAAAGGGTATGGAACATGTCCGTTTTTTTTTTTTTTTTTTTTTTTTTTTTTGTTAAAACCATGTCCATGTGTGTTCTCTTTCATGTTTACTTTTGACTCGTTCTAACCAAGAGAATCACATTGTGGCATGTCTCTGTTTTCTCTATGGTACCAAGCCTCCAGGGGCGGAGCTAGAATTGTAAAATTAGGGGGGCCAAAGTAGAAAATACAAGTATATAAACATCCAAATATGCAATAATTACATATTTAAAGCTAAATTTTTCTAATTGAGTCATGTCTAATTTGTTTTAGGGGAAATTTTAACTTAATTTATAAATTATTGATTACAAATTCTACATATTATATATAATATAATAGAGGAGGGATACAAATTTGGGGGGGGCCAGGGCCACTCCAGGTCTGGGAGTGGCTCCGCCACTGCAAGCCTCTATTTTGGACAAGTCCCTTAGGCTGCGGTGCGCTCCAGTCCAATGCAAAGCTCTTTAGAAATACATCAATTTAGTGTTAATTTTTAAGAATCTCATTTCATTACGTGGCAATTAACCCACACAATCCGTGTAAGAATTAGTTCATTGCATACTCCTTATACAAAGTCATTCAATCAATCACGCGTAATAAATAAAAGGAAAAAAAAATTATAACCTAATTCTGTGAAAATTTCTCAATTCGTGACTTATATATGATTGAAAGTCATGAAATTAAATTTTCATACAAAGTCATTCAATCAATCATGCATAATAAATAAAGAGTGCTGCTAAACGAAACTTAAAATTAATTGAGTACACCCTATGGTCTAAGTACACCCAAATATTTTAATCAAAATGTAAAATTAACCAAGTACACCTTATTTAACTACCAAAAATACCCATGGTACACTCTAATCCTAAACGAGGTGTCTCTTTTTACATGAATTCGTGTCCTCTTTCAGATTTTGGATTTGCATCAAAAAATTTAATTTAATACGCTGCTGTAAGAATAGATTTGCTAACTCCTTCAATTCAAAGCTTGATTCTTATAAATTCTTGTGATTCTCCACTTGAAGCAGGAACCAAGTTTGAACGCTGCCTGATTCTTAATTCTAATTTCAAGTTGAATAATGTTGGTCGTGTCAACACCACTGTGACAAATTTCTGATAAGTCAGTGACTTGTTGGGGCTTTCTTCCCAAGTTGATACGTCCAATGATATGCTGGTCTATTTGATTGACATAGCTAGCTGTCTTGTAATGTTCATCATTTGTTTCTTGCACTAAGTTTGTAGCTATCCCTAGGTTTTCTTCCCTTTAATTTGTGTGGGTCTCTTTTGGGACCAGGAAGTTGTTTCAACATCTTTTCTACAAATCTCTGATATTTCGATGGAGGTTGATTAGTGTTTGTCTGCATGTTTCCCTCATGGCTTCGCCATTTCGTTCTCCACTTCTTTCTTTTGGTGGCTTTTTCTTATTAAAATTACAGTCTACTTATTAAAATTAAATTTATTTCACAATTTAATGTAATTTTTTTTAGTCATTTAATATTATGGTACATTAGTAATTCAATACATAATTTAGTAATATGGTGTACTCAGTTAATTTTAGGGTTTGTTTAGCGGCACTCTAAATAAAAGAAAAAGAATATTATAACCCATGGCTTATATATGATTGAAAGTCATGAAATTAAATTCTCATACAAAGTCATTTAATCAATCACACGAAAAAATTATAAAAAATTATAACCCATTCCTATGAAGATTTCTCAATCCGCTTTTAGCAGAAGGACAAAAAGAATATTTCATGCGTCTGCCGGGAGTCGAACCCGGGTCTATTGCTTGGAAGGCAATTATCCTAACCGTTGGACTACAAACGCTATTGATAAGGGAACTCCCAATATAGATATATATTCATTGAAAATTAGGACAGTAGAAGATTCTCGAAATTACAAGCCCCAGATAGTGTTGGGCAGCCCATACATGTACAACAGTGGAGTCAAGTCTCTTACAGATACTTATCCTTTACGCCAACCAACCCACTATCCCTACCCCACTCATCTCAACCCCATTTTTAAGTCTTCCACTACCTTGAAAGAAACAAGGCTCCAATTTAGTTTTTGAACTCTTGCCTAATTTCAAACATCAATTCATTAGATTATAGAACATCATCTATAACAGGTTCAAAGACAGAGACTTCAAACCCTACTTTTGGCCACCTTCTCCCCAAACTCTGCTCCTAACAGTTTATACAAGCGATACCAGGGAGGAGGAAAATCTAAGTGCACGGGTAACTTTGCTCTTAATCACTTGAGCTGCAAGCCCCTTGTTTCTCATAATTGAATTTAGAAGGCATGAAGCAAATAGCTAGATCGGTACCATAAGGAGAGGAACCTCAAACCATGTGAGAGAGTAACATGGGACTGACCACTCAACCAAACGCTTTTCGGTAGATTTCGCTCATAATATTGTATGCTTGAAACTGAAAGACCTATTTAGCCTAATTTTTTTCCTTCAAAACTGAACTCCCTTTTTATGTATGTGCCAAACTAACTAGAAATGAGAACAAATATTTGTATCAACATTTATTTCACAAGTCTGGTTGATTGTACAAAAGCATTATCAATGCACTCCATAGATAATGGAGGAAAACTTTCTAGATCAGTCGGTTTGTAACTTAGTTTGTAGAGTTTCACAAAAATAGTAGTTTATTTATAATATTTATAAAAAATAAAAATAAAAATCTGCTTGTGAGTCTCAAGTCAAGGAGATTTTACCAGCCAAAGAATAGGTGAAAACAGATTTTACCTTTTCACCATGACAGATGTCTATAGGCTCAGGTTTACAATCATATGATTAGTGTGGCACACAGTGTCATATCTACTTTGGAATTTATTATGATTTTAAAGCCCTTTGCATTCAAGATAGTTTTGTTAAAATACTAGATGTGTTAAATTATGCAGATAAGTACTTGAAGTATATAAAAAAATCACATTAAGGATCAAAATATGTTCCAGTACAATCTAGATACAATGTAAAAATACCTCAATCCCCAGATCAATATGGTCGAATTATTTGTTCAAATGTGTATAGCATAGAGTCTACCATACAATGCGAACAACATCATAAATGTTCAAACAAAGTACTGCTTTGTGTAAACAAACTCCAAATGCTCATGGAGGGCCTGCAAAGTCACCACTAACATCGACTTCGTCGTCCAAATCAGCCTCTACATCATCAGAGTCGGATGGCCCGGCAACAGCTAGGCCGCCTGCTTTGGATCCTTGCCCTGGTGTCCTTGCCTCATCTATGATCCTATTTATTTCTTCAATTTTCTGTAGTTGGTCTCGCTCCACTGCCGCATAGTTTGTTTTCTCAGCCTCAATGAGCTCTTTTGGCAGATTTTTCAGAAACCAAGGGTGCTGTTTTATCTCAGGAAGAGTGATCCTCTGCCATGAGGACATGGACAGGATTGTCAGTACAGAATCTATATATAGTTAAGTCTTGAGAGGGTGTTTCTATATCAGTCAAAACAGAATTTGATTTTAATAGCATCGGATACTGCATTTATAACATTGTTCATACTCATCTGCTTAGCTCCATGTATTGTTCTTGTGCCTCAAGTGAACAAAAAGGAAACATAAGAAACTTATCAAGGAACTAGTTTACCTTGGAAGGGTTGGCAACAAAAATACGAGAAAGTAGCTGCTTGCAGCCTGCAGAAACACGTACATAGTCGGGTATGGAGTACTGGGTACTCATAATTCTCTGTTTCAAAAATTGCAATAAATCAATTGTTGTGGAATGGAAACCATAACCTTTTGCCCTAAAGATCACTATGTTCAACTACCATGTGTGCTGAATAAGTTGAAGCTCACCTCGATGGTCTTACGAAAATTTCTAGGATCTTCAGGATCCTCAAAAGGATATGCTCCTACCAACATCACGTATAGCGTCACACCACAGGACCAAACATCTGCAATCTACCAAGTTGTACCAACTTAGAAAGCAAATAAAATGGATAAATTTATGCCTAATACATAGATGGTCAGACTTATAGATGGTCAGACTACTAAGTCCAACATAAAGTAAAATGCGAGAACATGATTGAACTTGTGAGACTGGCCTGGAAAACAATATGGAAACTAGATACCTTTCCGTCATATTCCTTCCGTGATAGAACCTCTGGAGCAATGTATGCAGGCGTTCCAACTGTTGATTTTGGTTGTGAGTGCAACAGAGCAGACTGCAAGGTAGTAAATAAACATTAACATATATTGGACAACAGATCACCAAAATAATTTTCCTGCACTCAACAAAATAAAGTCTTATTCAACAAGAAAATCATAAACCTTGGAGTATCCAAAGTCGCAAATTTTAAGACGTGGTGTTGCACTTCCATCTAAGAGTGTATTTTCCAGTTTCAGATCCCTGTGACAAATTTCCTGCGGTAAAATTACCAGCAAATGTAAGAAAATAAACAGTAAACAGGAAAGCATTTGGTAATAAAAGTGCTTTTTTTTTTCTTTCTCTGTTTTTCAAATATAAACATACCATGGAATGACAGTAGCTGACTCCAGATATCAGCTGCTGGAAGAAAAATCTTGCCTGCCATGAAGTGGAATTACCATCAAACACAGTCATGGACTGGATGCTTACAAATAATTTCCATATACAGAAAAACTAAAGGAATTTTAATTAAACATGCTAAATAACCTAAACAAGCTAACCTCATCTTCACTAAATCTACCAGCACTGCAGATCCTCTCAAAAAGTTCACCACCAGCTGCATATTCCATGACAATAGCTAAATGACTTGGAGTCAGCAAGACCTGCAGGCAAAATTGATGCTTTAAGCATTCTTTTGTTCATATAAAACCCAAAACTTCCTCATCGTAGCTCTTTTGCACCACTTCCAGTTACTGGTAATTAACATCTTAGAGTTATCTTCACATTGACCAAAATTAGCATAACATGATGACATGTCGAAAGGAAAAGAAAAAAAGAACAAAGAAATGCCTACACACATACACACACCCCCAAAAGTGCATGAAACATACACAATACTGTTAATGAAAGATTGTGAATACCTCTTTGAACCTGACAATATTTGGATGCCTCAGGGACCTGTGATTTATGATTTCCCTCTGAACATTCTCATCAATCTGAAATCCAAAGAGCCAAAACAGAATTGATGTCCATATCCATACCAAAATCACATATACATCCATTATAGGGTAACGAGAAGAAAAATGTAAAGAACGATATCAAATGAATACAAGATATTGAAAATGCATGTGCAGGAGAAAATATAGGCCTTACTATGTATGTAATCAAGCCCTAATTTAATATCCAACTTTAGTTCACGACAAAAAGGATGTAATTATAAACTCAGAAGTTATAATGATATAACAAGCAATCATGTTCAATGTGCAAGAAAATTTGAGGCAAAACTCTGCATGATTGTTAATATAACCGAAAATTAGACACAAGCTAAATGTATGAATGTGAACATTGTATATGCCAAAAAAACAGAACATCAAGTTTTTCTTTTTTACACAACTGAAACTTCAAGAACAGCATTGGCTATTGCAGATATGAGACTCAAGATCTGCCTTTCCAGCTAAAAGCATACAGAGAAGGTCGGTGTCGTAAACGGATTGTCTTAGCAAAACTTATAATTATATATTCAGCAGCTGGAATTAGAAAGAACTTAGCATCACAAATTCACAACCAAATAAAAAGCAGAACAAACAAGAGCTAATCAAATGAGAGGTCAACTTGGCCTCTTTTCCAAATCTATGAGCCCAACACCTCTGCTCCTCCAACTCAAAAATCACTTCAACTAATACCCACAAGATACTCATTATGTTCAACGTAATAAATATTAGAGCTCACTCACACCAAGAGTAACTTTTGAGGATGAATGAGAAACCAAGAAAACCACCTCTCTCCAAACACTAGCATGCCATTTTAAATGAAAAACAGAACTTCAAACAAAACCCAGTAAAGCTTTCAAAAAGTAGATAGAAAATTTCAATTCCCGACTCTCAAATCATCCAAAGAGCATAAGATACATCAGAAACCATGCAACCCTTAGTAGAAACATTTCCAGAATTCCATACATTAGTCAATCAATAAATTAGAGGAAATAAAACAAAAGAAAATCAATTACCTTCTTTCCCCTTTCTATGTATTTGACTGCAACAAGCTCCTTGGTCTTCTTATCTCTGACCAGCCTTGCCACTCCAAAATTCCCAGAACCAAGATCCTTCATTGCCTCATACCTCTCCTCCATCCCAACCCAACTCACCAAACAAGAAATGAAGCACAAACTATCTTCAGCAGAGAGAGAGAGAGAGAGAGAGAGAAACCCAAAATGAAAAAAAAATATAGCTTCAGGTGGAGTTAAGAAAGAAGGCCCAGATTAGAAAATTGAGAGAAAGATTGTTTCAAAGCAAGAAGACCACGCGTCAAAAAGAGCAAGGAGCTGCTACAAAATAACAAGGCAAACCTCAAACCAACCCAACCCTTCCCGTTTGGTCCAAAAGTCTTCAAACCAAGCAACTGAATTTAATTTTAAATGGCGCAACAAGTCATTGTTTATAGTAAAAAAAAACCCAAGAAGAAGAAGAAAATATCAAAATGGATTATTTTGAAAGATATGAAGAAATCCAAGAGAGTGATTTGTTTTTATGAGAGAATTAAAAGACACGTATTGACATACAAGAGGTCCCTTCTAAGTGTCGCTCATCAACATACGAACTTCGACTCTGACACTGCAAAGCTTTCCTTCCATGTGTTTTATGTTCGTGAAGAAGGTGAGAGGTGCGTAGGTTTAAGCTCTTGTTTCAACTTCAAAGTACCCAGCTGGGCGCAGGATAAGTTACTTTCAGTGTCTCACACTGTGTACAAGTGTAGGGGTTGTGGGGCTAACGTGCACCGCCACGTGGGTCCCAGGAAAGTGTAAATGTAGGTCTGGGAGTTACGTTAGTTGAAGAAGACTATGAGGGAAGGTTTCGAGGTTGTTTGTCGTTTGTATAAAAAAGAATATTATCCAATCATAAGTCTGCCGACGTTGAGAATTTTGAAACCGTGTGCTGCTTCTACCGTCTGTTTACTGGTAAATTAAGCTACTGCGACTGTGTAAACCTATTAGTGACAAATGAGTTTTTTTTAAAACACTTTATCTTTTTTGGAAGTTCGGATTTTTATTTGTGTAATTATTATATAATTTTTTTAGTAAATTACTAGCTATTTGGTATACCTATAGAAAACTCAAATCCCCAACCTGAACACGACCCGTTTGTTAATCATTCGTTGAGAGAGTGATGATGGCTGCCCGCGAAGACTTGTAGTGACCGAATGGTGGCGACGTATGGTGGCAAATGTGATGAGTCTGGCTCAAACAAAGGTTTGGACCAAGGGATAATGTATAATTTGTGTGTTGTGAATATATGGACGTCGTGACGCAATGGAAGGCTTTTGAGACAAATTAAATGACATAGGTGCAATAGTGCAGTGCAATAGTGTAGTGATAAGCTGAAATGTTTTCAATTTGACTTTGGTGTTGAGCCGAAAACTTCGGTGACCTAGTTGCCTAGGCAAAGTAAATGTTCATCATGCATTAGAATAGAGAAAAATGTTTAGTAAGATTAGAGAAATTCTAGATAGAGTTTCATCAGTTGTAGTATCCCAAAAGTAAATGCAATTCCACTCCCGTATTTTGTGGTTCTCTCACGTTCAGTCTATTTTACAACAGTGTGACATTTTTTCCTTATCTATTAATTTTTAGTAATTATCATTTTCCTCTATTCCCCCACTTCTACCATTTTGGCATTTTCCCCCTTCCTATGGTCATGGTGTGAACGCTAGCAACTATCCCAGGTAGTCGCGAAGTCAAAATTTCATGTGTGGGGGGGGCCTCTTACAAATTATAAATAATCAAAAATTTGAACTCACAAATTCACAATACATACGAAAAGTAATATATATATATATATATCATATATGTTAAGAATTATATTGCTTATTTGTTGCAATCATAATTGTCTTCAACAAAGAGATAGACAAATACATTCTAAGCAAGAAAAATTACAAGAGATAGACAAAGAGTAGTGATTTAGCAAATATCTTTAAAGCTTTTTCCTCTATTAAACCCAATAGAAAGAAAAGATCAAAATTTCAGAAAATAAAAAAACTTTAGGTTCCTTCATGCATTCATATCATACATGAAAAAATGTTTTATGTAAAAATATTGACTAAGTATGAAAAATGGTTTTTCGGAATAATCATTTTCTCAAGATAATTTTTGGCGGCTTTTATTCCTTACACATCAAATAAGAAAACTTGATTTTATGGGATTTTAGTATGAAGTATATACTGACTTAATGAGTCATCATTTTTAGCCTAAATCATATTTTGCACTAAAACCGATTTTTCATCTTTTGATTTGGTGGGAATTTGATTTTGTAGTATTTTTATTTGAATCCAAATAGGGGGTACTTCCTTATTTACATTGTAAACTTAAGTAAATGGAGTAATATAAAAATAAATGAAAGTAAAAGGACAAAGACATAGGTAATTTGTACACCTGGAGTGCATCACCACCGGCTGAGCAAATAGGCAATTTGAAGCACCTTATTGTGCTTTAATAGGTCACAGTGTGGCTCCACCCCTTATCCCATGTGCAAACTGGAATTTGGGATCTCGAAGGCCATTTAGACCAATAGGTTTTTTTTAATCAAAGATAAACTTTATTAGATCAATACATTTTTAGCTGCATACGGTTAATTAAACATACTACTAAATGTCATGTGACAAAAGTACCATCTAACCTAATTAATTGATAAATATTTGCAACAAAAAGGAAAATAATTCAAGACCCAAGGATTACGCATGTTATGGAAGATAGAGTAGGAAGAAAGAATGTGTTGTATATTAGCTAAGGGCGGATTTTGGTTGGCAAAAAGATAAAGAATGGAAGGCAACTAAGAAGCAATTATGGGAACTCAACTCTCACCTCCCATCCATTGACAAATAATTTTATAAGATATTATATAATCGCTTCTAAATATCAATATATTTTTAAGAGTTACGATAACAATGTCGCGTGGTGTTATTAGTTTGCATGTTAAAACATAAACATAGGATACTATTCATATATCATGAATTCAATGTATAATATTATTAAATAAATATACTTATTATAATATGAATGGATTTTTTTAACACCACATGAGGGATGTGATTGTTACCCCAAAAAAAAATTACTCCTGAATATATGTGCATGTATGTGCACAAAATTATTGGCCGGCCCAATGATGTGCATGTACGTGAATGAGAATTTGATATGATGATTTAGTGAGCATAGGGCAAAGCGAAGGGGTGAGCATATTCTTAGTAAATCTATAAGCAAAGTCGGTGGGTCCCTCCCCATATGTTAGTTGGTAGGCAGCTTTCGTTGATTAAAGAAATGGGATTAACTTGTGCGTCTTTGTACGTTGTAATCTTCGTTCTAGCCCCCCCCAACCCACAATCCATCACTTAATTAGTGGGGGGCATTGACATTGTTAGTTAATCATGTGGTGTTTATCTTCGTATGGAGGATGGTTTAGCATGCCCGAATTTTTCATGTCATCACGAAAACGACTCATTATTTTAATGAGTTACTAATAAATTTGTTATCAACATAATATGTTCATGTCATGTTATCGGGTTCATGTATGATTTTAAATGTCCTGTTAATTAGGAGGGTGAAGTAAATTAGTAATGGGCCGTTTCATTTGGGTTAGGAGGGGGAGAAGAGGCCACTGAAGCTCCTCTCTCTCTCTCTCTCTCTCTCTCTCTCTCTCTCTCTCTTTTTGCTTGAATCTAGGGCTTTTTTGTTCGTTCTTTTTGTTTTGGTGTTGTAAGTTTTTGTGCGTTATGCCTTTGGGGATTAGGAGGGGGAGAAGAGGCCACTGCAGGGCTCCTCTCTCTCTCTATCCCTTATTTTGTCCAAATGTGCTTGAATCTAGGGCTTTTTGGTTCGTTCTTTTTGTTATGGTGTTGTAAGTTTTTGGATGGTTGCAATTTTGGTGGTGTTGTCCCTGTCTCCATGGCGGCGGCAATGGTTCTGTTGGTTTTTTGTTTTGTTTTGGGTCAGCCTTCTACCAAACCGTAGTTGTGTATGAACTCTGTTCGAGTTTGATGCGTGTTTATGGTCTATCTTCAGAAAAGTTTGCATTATGAGTGCTATACTAGGCTTTTCAAACTTCAAGCATTTATGACGGATTGTCTTTGGTCATGCATGACTTTGAATGGAGGTATACCATCTGAGTTTGATGTTGTCATTGAATTCCTCCATATTAATTGTAATCCTATATGAATACATTGTGGTTATTATATTTAAATTGCCTTTGTGACGCGATTTATAACTACAGTTCGTCTTTGATTGTCAAAAACAAAAATTAGAGTTCATAAACTCGTGTATGTTGAGAGATTAAAATACACGAGTTTGTATATATTTTTAGTTAATAGAGAGATTAAAACAACGAAAGTTTGTATATATTAAGAGAAGAAAGTCAAGAAGTTTGACAAAGTATTTTGAAGTCAAACTCGGGTCCACTTATTCCAGCTCAAAGATTGGTTCCAAGTTCCAACCCATGGTCCAATCTAGAAGAAATAATAATAATAATAACTAGTAATGTGTTCTGTCTTTTGATTGGCCATTTGGTTTTTAATCCTTTCCCAAAGATCACCGAAAGCTGAAAGGAAAGAGTGAAGAAAATGGGGCTGCACATGCCATGCCCCAGTTTGGATTGAAGAAACGCTTGCGGTTTTTTTTTGGGAAGATATTGCCCCTCCTCCTGCAGCGGGTACTAGAAAGCGATAGGATGCAGTCTTAACAGTTTTTTTTATTGTTTTTGTTGTTTATTTGAAGGTGTTGTGGTACTCTTTTTTCTTAATCGGAATTTCCCCTCCTCTAAGAGTTTTATAAGGCAAGGTTTTAATTATGCTCCTCTTAGCCCTCCGGTCCGTGAATTGATTTCTTTCGCAAGTAGTGTCGGTGCCAAAAACCAAAAAACTGAACAGGATAAAGTGAAGAGGTACCAAAAAGTAGGAAAGTTTTACTAATTTTATTTCGAAAAAGTAATATGAAAGGCCATAGAAAAGTCCAAAAGTATGATGGATCAATTTTGTTCCAGTTAGGGGGGCTTTTTTTTTTTTTTTTTTTTTTTTTTTTAATTCAAGTAAAAAGGAAAAGACATACATAAGTCCAAGTACCATGGATCATTTTCAGCCCAATATGGTCAT